TTTTTGATGAAATCAAACAAAGTTTAATTTTGGACCCTTTGGACCTCAATGTAGACCAATTCCAAAATGGGACCCAATATCCAAAATAGAAATACAAGGTTAGGACCCCCAAAAATTAAAGACTTAAATTAATCCAATACTTAGTTAATCTGTTATATATAATAATTTACACACCCTCTTTGGTGTGTATCTCCTGCCATATCAGTATTTGTTGTTCAACTGTCATACAAGTGAGAGGTTTAGCTAGCTATAAAACCAGGTTTAATCCACCATTTTCTACATTAAAAAATGCCTGTACTAAGTCAGGAATATGACAGTTGTTATCAATTCGTTTGATGTGTTTGAGCTTTTGATTTTGCCATTTGATCAGGGACTTTCCTTTTTGAATTTTCCTCGGAGTTCTGTATTTTTGTGATTTTACTTTTTGCTTTTATATATAAATCAGAAATAATCAATGTACAAATAGAAAATTTTTTGGAAAAAAAACAAAAACAAAAAATTATGAAAAAAAAATCCACCAAAAAAATTGGTCCCCCCCAAAAAATAAGATTTCCAAAAAATTTGAGATTTCAAAAATTGTGTAAAAAAAATATGAACCCCCAAATAATTTGAAAAAAAATCCCTCCCCAAACTTTTTGAAACCCCCCTCCCCAATTTTTTTTTGAAATTTTGAAGATTATTTTCTTTTCAGGAAAAATGTACAATTTCAGAGAGTGCAATAAACTTTAACACAAGTTATTGTCTGGAAACTAGAAAAATGCTTGTTTTTTGGCCCCTAATTTCTAAACGTTTTGGGCAATTACCCCCAAACTCAATCCCAGCCTTCCCTTTGTGGTATGGAACCTTGTAGTACAATTTAAGAGAGATCCATACACTTAAACACAAGTTATTGTCTGGAAACTAGAAAAATGCTTGTTTTTGGCCCCTAATTCCTGAACGTTTGGGGCAATTACCCCCAAACTCAATCCCAGCCTTCCCTTTGTGATATGGAACCTTGTGGTACAATTTCAGGGAGATCCATACACTTACACACAAGTTATTGTCCGGTAACTACAAAAATGCTCGTTTTTGGCCCCTAATTCCTAAACTGTTGGTACCATAACCCCCAAAATCAATCCCAACCTTCCTTTTGTGGTATTGAACCTTCTGGTAAAATTTCATAGAGATACATTCAATTAAACTTAAGTTATTGTGAATTTGTCCGGAAACCAAATGGGTCTTCCGACAACGACGACGACATGATAGCATTATACGAACGCAAATTTTTTGCAGTCGTATAAAAAACAAACTGTTTTTGCCAAACCATACAGAAACAAGAACTTTTTTGAAACTCAATGTTACACTCATTCCCCCTAATTTTCAATGTTCCAATGATTTTTTCACTCCTCTTCTGAAACGCATTTAAAAAAAAATAATTTATCTTCTCTCTTGAGATATATCTGATACACAATGTAATGTTTTTTACTGTAAATGTGATCATTGATTGCCATGTAAACAAAAAAGAAAGTATATAGTGTATTAGTTCACGACATAAAATCCCTACATGTATTTGACAAAACTCAAAGCCAAAGTCCACCACTTTTATTTATTGTTGTAAAGAATGTTGAATACTGCGGTTTAATAGGTGTTGTATAAAATCTTTATACATACTCGCATGTAGAGATACTTGAGATATTGCCTAGGAATAAATGTCTTGATGCCGGTCTGGTGTCCGATTTCTATTGAAATTGATTTTATGTTCATAGTAAAGAGAGCTTTAAATATAGGTGGTTGGTTTTTTTTATCAGAGCTGAAAAAAGTAAAAAATTCCTGCACACCAAGTGACAACCATCATTTTGCAGACTTGTAAGACTCTTGAGATATGTTTCTTTTGAAGGAGGTCCTAAGCAAAGAAAATCAAACAGGATTATGGATACAATAAATGAAGCATCTGTGGTAATCTGCTATAGACTTTCCATAATGGTCAACATAATCATTATGGTATCTGTAAAACTTTGGAATTTTACTATCAAATCCTATGGTAAAAGGTGCCATTGTTACTGGTTTTCTCATTGAAGTTATATGCTTTTAAGAATTAAATATTTTTCTCAGGGCCTTAACTTTTTGGTCAATATTTGTCTCAGATTTACCAGTATATTATCACTCATGGAATGGAATGGATGTCACTGAATCTATGCCATCTTCAATCATTTTTAGATGTTCAAAACTTGTTAGACCTTTCCATCTCTCAAATTCAATTATTTTATCTTCATATTACTGTGGTTATGTATAGTATTATGTACTGTGGAAAACAAAGGTTATGTCACCACTACACTCTTTTGTATAGTAACAAACATTTCTGAATTAAAAAAAAAAAAATTCTGAATTAAAAAAAAATAATTCTGAATTAAAAAAAAAAAATGTTTTTCATGTCATACTCTATGCTTATTTTGATATGGGTAGCACTAGGCATTATATTTGTCAAGATCTTTTCACCGAGTGTAAGCAGGGTTGAAAATTTAATACCTACCTACCCATGTTAAAATAAGCATAGAGCATAACATAATAGATCTCTCTCAATTTTAATAGGAAAATTCAGAACTTTGGTACTTGTAAGTGAACCAATTGTTTCTCAATTAAACTGAGTACAAAATCATGATAGACTTACTTTCAGAATTATTTTATTGAATTCCTTAGTAAGTATTCACCAACACCAACAGAAATGTCCATTTTGATCTCCAGAGTTTAATTGGAATTAGAACATGGCTTTGTTTGCAACATGAAAGAAAAGCTTCATATTAGAACATTCCAGTGACTATGCAAGACCTTTTCTATATTCTAGACTCATCTTGGTTTAATTAAGTACATGTATACAAATATATCATTATGGGTGGATCTTGTACGCTGGAGTATGGCATTGTTTCAAAAAAACTAATTGACGTACTAAATTGTCTCCCGCTCTTCCTACTACTGTTTTTTAAAGTGAAAATCTATTAATATCTAGCTATGCCACTGGTAATTGACATTTCAACAATACAGTCCCCTTACCGGATATATTGTACAGTACCTTTCTATTGTGGGGGTTATCTTGAGCTAAAACACAAATCACATGAAAAGTGCAAATGTTCATGAAACAAACTTCCTCAGCCATTGAAGTTGACAATCAGACACTTTTAAGTTTTCATCATCCCTCATGCATGTAATATTTTGTCAACATATTGTATTTTTGATATTCTAAACTTGTGACATTAAGCTGATTTAAAAAAGCTATTAACTTGTTAAGGTCTCCATAATTATGATTTATTCCTAAATTTCCTACTGTTGACATAAAGGTCTGTTTTGTTGATCATTGCAAAAATGTAAGTATGTGATTATATAATATGGAACTCAAAATGTTTTGAAGAAATGGTTTAATGCACACAAATTGTTATACACTGACGACTTATTACATATTTAAATATATTAAAATCTAAAAATATCTGCAATAACAATACAAACACCCAGCTCTTAAATAATTCAAAAAGTTTCTTATCTTTCATAATTCATGAATGTATACATTATTGCACTAAAATATTACTGTCATTGGAGTAAGGTTTTATTTTTACAAGTAACATAGAAACAAAAAATTTCTTTGCATGCATTTGTTGAAAATTCCTTTCAAAATGAAAATAAGAAGATGTGGTAAGATTGTCAATGAGACAAACCTCCATGAGAGACCAAATGACGTAGACATTTACTTCAGATTCACATAACTTCAATTTTTGAAAAATTATACCCTAATAATAATTATACCCTTTTGGTTTGTGTATATATTATTATTCTATTACTTAAGAGTACAATTCACTAGTTTGACTCATTTTTCTTGTTGGCCTGTTGTCTCCCTGCAACATTAATAGTGTAAAATAAATACAGATAAACAGCTAGTCCATATGAGATTTTGTCCAATACATCTTGTAGATACAATAAACTTATCAAACACGAACAAATAAGTATTATTTATTTTTTTCTATAATAAAATAAAAAGCACCAGTTATAAATTTGATGCATCCATGCCCTTTAATCAAAACAATGAATATCAATTTACCACAGGAGATATTAGTATCATGTTATTCATATTAAACCATGCAGATATTATTAAATGTCATGAACATAAATAAAATATAAAAGACAGTTACATTGTTTGATAAGACATTAAATATTTAAGATATTTATTTTAGATAAATCATCCAAATGCTTTAACAATAGCAAAGAAGTTTGTAACTTTTGGAAAGATGGAAATTTAGCAAATGGTGCGACATAAATTTATTTAAAAAGCACAATGATATTAACCTTACTCCTTAAATGTCTGAAGCAACAGAACCAAGACTGAAGGGATTAATGGAATACTATTGCTAACCACAATTTTACAGCATAGATGCAAACTTAAATGCACATATGAAAATATTTACAAGACGCAACAATAGAACCAAGCTAAAGAAGGCAGTGAACACCAATACTTCAATATCTACAGCCTTCTTCCCTGAATGTTGTAAACTACTTTATGATATTCTTGGCATTCATTGGACCCATTTTTTCCATTTTAAATTAACCACAAGCATTTTATATCTTCTTTTACCGAGATCTTATCTTATTTAGAACAGAAGCAAAGTATCAATTATCTTTGTTGGTGAATGCATTTTTTCTCACTTATCTCCTTTACAGCGTGAGGTATAATGCGTTATTCTAATGTTGGCATTCTTTTGGGCATTATGTTTTCCACTGCTAACATTTTTAAACTAAGATCAGGAGAATTTCCTTATTTTCCAGAATTTTAATTTATTTTTCAAGTGGATAATCAACAACTAAAAATGTAACTGAAAATTGTTTGCACTACTTTACGAATTAAAGTAAGTATGAATGGACTAAATCAAAATTATTATGTCAGAAAGTGGATAAAAGTCACAGGACCTGAGGTAAAGTGAATTAGTTCTCATGGAAAAGAAAGGTTCATTTACGAGTAATGGAACCTCATGGCCTTTTAAGTGGATCAAAAGATAACTAATCAAAGCTACAAAAAAATCACAAATTGCATTCCAAATGTTGCCCATTATACAAAAAGTAACAAGGTTAATGACTATGCACAGAGAGCTACAATATAAATATCCTTTTCCAATCCTATCTTTCTCTCAGAATGTCTTATTCTTTTTTACTGCTGGTTTCTCCTGCCGTTTGCTGTAAAATGATAGACAATGAATATATATTATATTCTATTTATTTTTAAAATGCTGAAATATCATGATATTTCATGATACTAAATTAAATGTCTGACTTGTTGCAATGTTTCACTTTAAAGTTTCAATTCTTCAACTGTTTATATCATTAACGTCATGAACATGCATTGATTTAATTTTGTTTTCAAAATTGTTTGTCCCAAGCGTTCCTGATAAAGGTTATTCTAGAAACATGTGTGGCAAGTGTGCATGTTAGTAAATATACATTTATTTTGCTACCACTGGGTCCATACTGCTGCTGACTGAATGTCAGTCCTCAATGGTCCTTTATTATCATTGTCTCTAGCATGGTAGCATGGGGGTAAATAAAAACTTATGAGAAACCATTATATAATCAATTTTATCAACTTGAAATGGCATAAGTTTACCCTATTTATTCTGAATTTGTGTGTGTGTGTGTGCTACATATTTACATGTGATTTAAAATGTTTACAGATTTGTAATCCACAATGTTTCAATAGCTATAATTTAAAATGTTTACATACTTGTAATTTAGAGTGTTCCTTCATCAATCTGTCATATTCTCTATTTGTTCCTTCAGCTTGTTTGCGTACAGCTTCTAGATCACTAACTGCTTTCTTCAAGTCTGTAAAATAAAGTAAATGACACCTGGTGTTTATAAAATTATAACTTGTATTAATCTTCTAGTTCTTGGTTTTAATCTTTTAAACTAAACTTTTTCATGAAACAAAACGGTATATGGATAAGTAAAAATCTGAATAATTTGAAAACACATGACCACTGCTTTTTTTTTATGGATTTACCGATCACTTACTGCTAACTATATGCCCTTTTTGATATAGTTCCTACTTTTGTTGGAAAAAATATATGGACATATTTCTACATCCTTCCTAAACTTACCAAGATGTATTTATAGTTTTTAGAATTAATCTGCTAAAATGGTTAATACTGAAATAATAAATGGGTCAATAAGTGCGTCTTTTTGAAGCTAAATATTCAAATCCTATGGTTACTTTGGAGAACCTTACAATTAGATAGTATTTAAATTTAACCCATGTCAGAGCAAAATTTACACTTATTTCAGAATAACAGACCTTTTAACTTGTTGTTGAGATATAATTACCAATCTAAGTCTTCTGAAATCTGCTTTTTTATCATGTTTATAAGATATACTTATCTAATCTGATCCATTTTTACTTATATATTTGATGAGGTAGACCTACCTATTTTGGTCTTCACAAGATCCTCCTTTGTTTTATCAAGTTGTTGAGCTAAACTTTTTTCTTCCTCTGTGTCATTATCCTCTTTTTTCTATTTAAGATTAAAAAAAAAATTATAATATATCAGAAAAAAACAGAAAAAAAACATTTAGAAATCAACCAATGAGGTTTAATCATAGATAAGTATTATGCCTTTCATTAAATAGCAATAATAAGTACAAATTTTCACTAAATTATTCATCTTACCAGAAGTATCATCAGCCAATGATTTATACTGCAGCTAGCACTTTTCCATAACTTACCAAATATTGTGATATTTCGATAGGTTTGTTTAGGTATATAAAAATAAGTTTTACTTTTGTGTTTCCATTTTAATGACTATAAATGCAGCCAATTTTAGCTGCAGTTCAAAAGCAATAATAGATTAATGTCAGAAAAATATCAACTTTTTTTGTAACCAGCACAAACTGTTGAAGAGCTCTGTAAAATTTGCCCCTCCCTAGTTTTTAAGCCTCATACAAAAAAAAAATGTGGATAGTGTGGACACAGATGATGCCCCCGCTTGCATATCATATAGTTATAAAGGGACATAACTGAAGAACGGTAAAAGTGACGCTACCCAAATTTGAACTTGACCTGAGTTTTGTGGTAATAAGCATTGTGTGCAAGTCTCATAACATTTGGTTTAGGCTAACTTAAGTAGAGAACAGAGAAACTAAAAATTCAGCAATTTTTCTATTTGTAAACACGCATAACTCTAGAACGGTTGTGTATAAGTTTTATAACATTTGGTTGAAATAAACTAAAAAATTCAGCAATTTTTATGTTTATAAAGGGACATAACTCAAGAATGGTAAAAGTATCGCCACCTTATTTCGTACCTAATCTGTATTATGTAGTAATAAGCATTGTGTATAAGTTTCATAACATTTTGTTCAGGCAAACTAAAGTTAGAAAACAGAAACAAAAAATTTGTACTTGATCTTAGTTTTGTGGTAATGAATATTGTGTAAAGGTTTCATAATGTTTGGTTGGGGCAAACTTAAATTACAGAATGGAAACTAAAAATTTTGCAATCTTTCGATTTATAAAGGGGCATAACTCAATAATGGTTAAAGTGACACTACCCAAATTCAACTTGATCTGTGTTTTATCAGTGGAAGTCAAAATTAAACATTGCATTGTATAAAGCATTGATTGTAGTTGATTCAACTATAATCATGGACAAAGGAAGATAACTCCAATTTTAATATAAATTACTTGATATTTACAAGAAAATAAAAATTTTGCAATTTTTCAATTTATAAAGGGGCATAACTCTAGAACGGTTACAGTCACGCCACCAAATTCAGACTTGATCTGTGTTTTGTGGTAATAAGCATTGTGTATAAGTTTCATAACATTTGGTTCAGGCAAACTAAGTTAGAGAACGGAAACCAATTTTGGGACGTACGGACGTACAGACGGACAAGGGTAAAACTTAATGCCCCCACCGCTAAGGCGGGGGCATGAAAAAAGATATTTTTCTGACATTGACCTAATTTTTATATATCTATGCTGCAGCATTGCCTGCTCCCAGTCATTTCTGACTTACTAATATCAGCATGATAACTCAGTGTCTGAAATACACAATGACCTGCTTAGCTTGTTTCTGACTTAAGGTACCTTATTAGAAGTATTGTCTAACTTATCTTATTAGAAGTATTGTTTCTGACCTACTCATTTAGAAGTATTGTGTTGGACTTACTTTATTAGAAGTATTGTTTCTGACTTTAATACTTTATTAGAAGTATTGTTTCTGACTTACTGTATTGGAAGTATTGTGTCTGACTTACTTTATAAGAAGTATTGTTTCTGACTTACTTTAAAAGAAGTATTGTTTCTGACTTACTTTATTAGAAGTGTTGTTTCTGACTTACTTTATTAGTATTGTTTCTGACTTACTTTATTGGAAGTGATGTTTCTGACTTACTTTATTGGAAGTATTCTTTCTGACTTACTTTATTAGAAGTATTCTTTCTGACTTACTTTATTAAAAGTATTATCAACCTGATCAAGCAATCTCTGTGCTGCACAATGACCTGCTAAGTTTGTTTCTCACTTACCTTATTAGAAGTATTATCAGCCTGATCAAGCAATCTCTGTGCTCCACAATGACTTACTACCGGTAAGTTTGTTTGTTTCTCTCTTACCTTATTAGAAGTATTATCATTCTGATCAAGCAATCTCTGTGCTGCACAATGACCTGCTAAGTTTGTTTCTGACTTATTTTATTAGAAGTATTATCAGCCTGATCAATCAATCTCTATGCTGCACAATGACCTGCTTAGTTTGTTTTTCACTTACCTTATTAGAAGTATTATCAGCCTGATCAAGCAATCTCTGTGCTGCACAATGACCTGCTTAGTTTGTTTCTCACTTACCTTATTAGAAGTATTATCAGTCTGATCAAGCAATCTCTGTGCTGCACAATGACCTGCTAAGTTTGTTTCTGACTTATTTATTAGAAGTATTATCAGCCTGATCAAGCAATCTCTATGCTGCACAATGACCTGTTAGTTTGTTTTTCACTTACCTTATTAGAAGTATTATCAGCCTGATCAAGCAATATCTGTGCTGCAGCACTGGCCTGTTTAGCTTGTTTCTGACTGGCTTCACATTCTGCCTCTAAATGAGCTTGTTTTGATGTCTGTGTTACAAGACGTTTTAATATACTGAAAAATAAAATTTACAAATTTATTTTAATATATTGGATGAATTCTTTTACTTTCATATTCCAAAATTATGGGTAAGGTTCTTGTTTTCATTTATTCGTGGACAACTATGAATTTCATTGTTCAGAAAGTAAGGAATATCTGCAAAATTTACAGACAGATATTCCAAGTATCCTGAGGACAAACACAGAAGAACTATCAATTTGCTACTTCAGAATCTGATACATTTTGGGTATTGTAAATTCCTGATGATAAGGTGCAATTTTTTCTCTCTGAGTTGCTCCTTGTCGCTTATTTATCAGTGCACCTTAGCTTTTCCTATTTTATATTTTTTTTGGACTTTCAAGGATTTTCAGTGCTCATTGTTTTCATTACAATCAGATGTGGAATAAATGAAATCTGTGACAGAAGGTGTTGAGCATGGTTCCACATATATACATTTTTGAATGTCCAGTAATATATGCTAATACTTTCAAAAGCAAACAAAAACTGTTGTGACTGGTAAGGAACTTCCACTGATATTAAACCAATGATGTGACATATTCATTAAGTGTACAATCAATGGAATTACCCACTCATTTTATATTGAAGTGGCAAATTCTACAGACAATATACAAATTTAACAGCTGAATTGTACATACAACCACATGAAAAGAGCAAATCCAGAAATGTAGAAATTTCTTTGAGCACGAAACAGTTTAACTTGTGCTGCTAGTTCTGATTCTCTGTTGTTCTTTAAATCAACCTCTTCCAAAGCTTCATTATATTTTCTCATTTCTCTGATGGACTCTGAAAATAAATCAGAAACTTTTTCATACATACACTTTGCCACACAGATTATGTGATAAAAATATACATGTAGCTGACTTCTATTATATCAGCTACACCATTAAAATGAGATAAGTTTTTGTTGTTAATTTCATTAAAGATACGTCAACATGTAATACCATAAAAATTCTTTCTTGACAAGATTTAAATTTTTGCTAATATTGAGAAATGTATTCATAATTACAAAACTTTGTGTTCAAAAGTACATTTTTGATGACAATATCAACAGAACATTCACTACCATATCAATAATAAGATTCATTAGAAAAAAGAATTATTGTTGTTTTATGTTCACAAACATGACAAAAACAATAAGTACACCTGAAATAGAGGATTTTTTGGTTAATCCATAAAATATAAAATGCTCCGCTGGGGCGCAGCTTGATTTGACCACAGATGTCGAACCCTGAACAGTTGGGGCAAGTATTGACACAACATTCAAGCTTGATACAGCTCTGAATTTGGATTGTGATTAAATATTTGACACAGCATAGGTTTCTGACACAGAATGAATGTGGTCTAAGAACTTAAAATTTTTTAATTTACCTATTCAAACCATATCATTATTATTTGCTTTTATATATAAATCAGAAATAACCAATTTAAAATGGAAAATTTTAAAGAAAAAAAAAGGAAAAAAAAAATCCCCCGCCCCCAAATTTTGTGAACCCCCTTATGATTCATCACCCCAAAACTCAATAACAGCCTTCCCTTTGTGGTATGGTACCTTGCAGTACAATTTCAGAGAGATCCATACACTTGAACACAAGTTATTGTCTGGAAACTAGAAAAATGATTGTTTTTTGGCCCCTTTTTGGCCCCAAATTCCTAAACGTTTAGGACAATTACCCCCAAACTCAAACCCAGCTTTCCCTTTGTGATATGGAACCTTGTAGTACAATTTCATAAAGATCCATACACTTACACACAAGTTATTGTCCTGAAACTAGAAAAATGCTTGTTTTTTGCCCCTTTTTGGCCACTAATTCCTAAAATTTTAAGGCAATTACCCCCAAACTCAATCCCAGCCTTCCCTTAGTGGAATGGTACCTTGCAGTACAATTTCAGAGAGATCCATACACTTGAACACAAGTTATTGTCTGGAAACTAGAAAAATGCTTATTTTTGGCCCCTTTTTGCTAAACATTTTGGGCAATTACCCAGGGCTTCCAAAATTTCCTGACGACAGCCGGACATTTTTCAAAGAAATATTTTTGACGGTCAATGATCAGCTGGATACTTAAATGTAACTGAGAGGATGCATAAATTGATATATGTGTCTAAATAATTAGTAGTGTTATATGCAATAAAATTATTTATAACTGTTTTGTTTTCTTCATTCTAAAAATAAATAAAATATTATCCTCGGTATTGTGTCATTTTTCTGTGTATCGTAATACAGTAACCATCATTGCATCAATCAGCTTCAGTACCTGACTGTTCTCATGTTTTTGTTTCTGTTTATATAATCTATCTTCTCTCTGTGAGTACTTAACACTTTGTAAATTAAGGCCATCTTATTTGAAACTGTTGATGTTGGCTTTAATTGCAGTACAACTTGATCATCAATACACGTGATACTTTTCTTTTTGTGTATTGATTACCTGACCACGTGACTTTTACAACTGATGCGGTATTTATAGATAACATTGAGGAGGCCCGATGAAGGATATTGTTTTAAACCGTGTAAAATCTACTGAACAGTGATAACATTTTTCTTTGTACAATTTCCCAACCTGATTTAGAAAATAAGGAATAAATAAAAACATACTCAGTTGATAAATAATTTAATGAATAACAACATGATATTTTATGTAAGCATATAACAACAATAAAATATCAGAAGAGCACAATGTTGACAAACACACGCAATAAATATTACAATGAGCACATTGAAAAGAAGCACAGATCACAGCACAAGATTAGAGTTCATTTAGTCTAATTTAAGATTTTACATTCATGAGCTTGCTAAATGCATTGTTCTGATAAACATGGCGGTTACGAACGGATTGCCATTTATGGATAGCATGGAACAGGATCAAAGTATTTAACATCTACACCTACTAAGCTTATCCTCATAAGTTGATCTAAAGCGTCAATACCTAGACTACACCTTAGTCGATCATAATTCCCACGGCGGGACTTAATTAACTTTACGTCGGACATCACCTCTTTCTCTATAACATCGGAAATTGTCTGAATAAATTCGGAGCAGGCATTGTTCTCTTGATATAATTTAGAAGTGATCACGGCACCATTTAACTTAGTTAAATCATTTATTGACTGAAATTTGTCCATTGGTTTTTCCTATATATTTTAGTAAATTTTCCCCTTGAGAGTACCCCAGTATTTAACACGATGTACAGTGTTAAATAAAATAATATATATCATACTTATTCATTTATAAATATCCTTATTTGAAGAATAACTTTTAAATATCAGGATACTTTTTAAACTGAATGCTCATTTAAAATAATATCTATAAAGCGTAATTAAATAGGATGTTGTTCCATACACGCTTACATGTTTGACCTCGTTTACCGGATTTATGTACATTGTTATGCATCATTAATTCTATTGATAAAGACAAGCTAAGGACACCTCATCAAAGGTAACAAACCTGTAATCAGTGAATGATTTATGGCTTCAATATAACTTATTGAAGGGATAATTGTTTGACAGCTTGTTGTTATTTAAATAAAAGAAAACGTGTTTTTTCTACTTTTTATTGATGTACACAAGCTAAAGACCAAGCCGTACATTTATGTACCCAGAGGATTAGACTAACTGAGACACTTCAAAGTATCTGAAATATGCTGCTTCTGTTTTATTAAACCCAATTATGACCGAAATATCTTTGTGAAATAGATTGCCACAATTATAAACTAAAATGCCCAAACGGACATGCCCAAAGCCCCAAACGGACATTTTTATCGATCGATAGTTGGTAAAAATTGAAATGACCGTTTCATGAAAATGCCTTGAATAACAAAATGTGGCACACCAATTCTATTTGACCGTTTGAGGCTGAGAGCAGCCGGTCTTTTTATGAAAGTTTCGGTCAAGTCCGGAATATATGACCGTTTTGGAAGCCCTGCTATTACCCTCAAACTCAATTCCAGCTTTCCCTTTGTAATATGGAACCTTGTAGTACAATTTCAGAAAGATCCATACACTTACACACAAGTTATTGTCATGAAACTAGAAAAATGCTTGTTTTTAACTCCTTTTTTTGCCCCTAATTCCTAAAATTTTGAGGCAATTACCCCCAAAATCAATCCCAGCACTCCCTTTGTGATATGGAACCTTGTGGTATAATGTCAGAGAGATCCATACACTAACACACAAGTTATGTCTGGAAGTTACAAAAATGCTTATTTTTGGCTCCTTTTTGGCCCTTAATTCCTTAACTGTTGGTACCATAACCCCCAAAATCAATCCCAACCTTCCTTTTGTGGTATTGAACCTTATGGTAAAATTTCATAGAGATCCATTCACTTAAACTAAAGTTAGAGTGTGAAAACCAATGTGTCTTCGGACGACGACGACGCCAACGTCATACCAATATATGACCGCAAAATTTTTTTGCGGTCGTATAAAAATGGATACCTACCTAGAAATACTAATGACAGTATTGCTATTAATACATTGAAGTAGATATGTGAATATGACTCTATCTTTTTTATTAAGTTGGATCGAAAGATCTTCTGCCATCTACAAAACAAAGCGAAAAGTTTAAAACTACCTTTATTAATATAAAGTGTCTGATTTCAGACTCATTTTAAATAAACAGTTTATGTACTTCCTATTTATATATTACTACAATATTGTTGAATTTCATTGATTTGTCAGTGGCAAATATTTCATTCATATTCAGATCAAGCTTCAATTGACAGTATGACAACTATTTTGCATTGTTCTTTTTCAATTAGTCATTGTAGCTTAAATTTCTTACTGTGAAAATTCAATTTGTCTTTTTTAATTACTCTTTCTCTATAAAATACATGTATTTTTAATAAACAATATATGATAAAATTGTAAAAGGTATAAAACATGCATATCCAACCTTAACTGCATGTTCAATGGTGTAGCAATCTAAACTGTGAAGATCTACCAAGTAATACTGTTGTTTTTAATACAAACCATATTGTTTACAAAAACTGTTTTTTATTTTTTTTTTATCCCCTACATGACAGGATTGAATAATTTATAACAGAGACCAGAAGAACCTTATGACTCTTTTCTGTACACATATTAAATTTCTGTACTTGAATAGTAAAGCTTTTTTTCAAATATTAAATATAATTTTTGTTTTTAAAAACTACCATATAAATTAATTTCTCATTTGTTAAAGTGAAAACTGAGGCCCCTCATAGGGGTGTACAAGTAATCACATAATCACAAATTCTTTGCCAATATAATCACATAATCATTATTTTTTTAAACAAGATAATCAAATAATCAAAAATAGTCCTAGATTATCAAATAATCAAATAATCATGAAATATTTTGTCTGGTAATCAAATAATCACTACAAAAACATCCAAGTAATCACATAATCAAAAACCCCATGAGGAGGCTCAAAACTTTATAGTCTTTTTGCATTTGAAAATAAAGTTATGACACAAATAAACTGAGAAAGACAAAAGATGGAATATGATACATGTGTATGCTCAAGATATTGGGTATAGAACAAAAACTTGCTTTGAAACTATATATATTTCCAGTACCAATTATTATCAACAAACTTCTCAAATGAATACATTTTATACATAATAATTATGTATAAAATCAAATTTGGATTTTTTTCCTTCATAATATATGCGGAATAGCTTATCTTAAATACACATCAAGCTGTTTATTTTAAGAGGGTTCTTTCCTGTCTTATTAAATGTTTGTGTCACATTCTTTTAATTCAATGCATTCAGCATTGATCAGATGTAACACTAAAATCTCCATATAAATAAAATATTAATTAAAAGTGAACAAGATTGAGAAATTTGTTGACAACTTATTTCACATTATACATGGCAAACATCATTAATATATATCCCAACCTACCTGGATGGTGGGATAAAAGGGATTAATAGGATAGCTGAGAGGAAGATCTCCAGATACAGGAATAAAGCTATGAAAGTCCAAAGCATTTTAGGATGTGGTATGCCTGAAATAGACCATCATGTGATCAGGGAACTAGATATTCTACACCAGCATGTGATCAAGGTACTAAATATTCTACATATTGGAATGTAATATTGGTGTAATATTGAGTATAGAAAATCAGTTTATATATATATATACATCTGAATATATAGAATCTTAAGCAAAAAACACCAAATGCAAAGAAAAATTCATAACAGCAAAAACATTGTGGTATCCCTTGATTTGTTATTATACTTAACAATTTGGTTTTGCATGATAAAAGTGTCTTTTTCTGTCAAAGGAGTAGGCCCGGTAAGACCCCTTTTTGGCCCCAAAATATAGCAGTTTTACAAAATTATAAAAAATTTAAATTTTTAGCTATTTATTGGAAAGAAAAATACTTCTGTTACATAAACATGGGCTGTTTTTGACAATACATTGCACATGTATCGGGTACTAGCATCATTAAGTCTTGCTAAATTACTGAAACCTCGAAATTTTAGCATTTTGGTTAATTTTTAGACGGTTTTCTTCTGAAATGGAAGTGGCCGCATTTGTGTTCATTCTTAATATTTAAATGTAAGTTGTATTTGATGATAATACATAACATACATAAAGGTTGAGAATGAACACGGATGCAGCCACTTTCATTTTTGACAAAAACCATCTGAAAAGTGACATATTATGGCATATTTGATAGATTTTTCATATTAAAGCTTGAATTTGAGCGTCTTTAATGACTAAATCAGTTCAAATCTTTCAGATAAACTAATTGAATCAACTGAAGTAGACACTTAAGTGTTTTAAAAGTGTCCAAAATCTTTCATCAGATGAACCTGAATTTTGAGGCCATAATCGGCCCTTACCGGACCTACTCCTTTCACATTATAAAAATAAGGTGTGTTATGATTGCCAATGAGACAACTATACACCAGATTTCAAATGACAATGGATATAAGCAATTGACATGTAAAATACTAACTTTCTATACTTTATATTACTACAATGAAATATTATTGCCCATGATACCACACAGAATATAATGCTGTTAACATGCACCTGCAGGTTCAAAAATGCAGAGGAACTAACTTTCACAATAGATTTGTAAATATAAAATCACTTTGGCCACAACGAAAATATGTCCTGATTTTCATCCATTTTTTTTTTAATCAAAGCAGACAGAATGTCAATTTTACTGTTTAAGTTATGTTAGTTACAGTTATGGATTGGTTCCATGTTGAAAATGGAAGTTGATAAAAAAAAGTTTAGAGGGTCTTGGATGAAAATCTGGGAGTACTTTCATTATGGCATTGAAAATCAAAAATGCAGGAGATCAAAGGTGTAAAATCAGTATCCTATTTAATAAGTTTTATTGGTTTGATTTGCACTTTCTTAATCAAATTTGAATTGTGAATACTTGTATCTGTCAATGATGACACTTGTTTTATGTAGATACATACACCTTTCATCCGATTACTGATTCAATCATGTTTCTGTGTAAATGATAATTCATGAACATGATGCAATGTTAATGTTCTAATTCTGCTTAAAGCATCATTGACTTCTATAAAACTTTGGTGGTTTTCAATCTTTATATACATGAAACATGTTAAATATCACAACACTTCAATTTGAAGAGAGACATTAAAAGGAAAGTATATCTTTTAACACTGGCCACTGCAAAAGTTAACACCTACACAAAATAATCAGCTATGCAGTAACTCATTATATAAATGGCATCTGAACGAATTTCTGCAAGTATTTTTTCTTAGTTTTTAAATTGCTTTTTAAACAGTTCTATTTTTACCATGAGCTTTGTAGAAGTCAACATGTCATAGCTGCAACTAATATTAATGTATGCTGTAAAGATCAGTGCTTACCTAGATGGGGAAATATAAGGTATCAATAAAATTACCGATACAAATATTTCAAGATACATAAACCCAGAAATTGATGTCCATATCAAACCAGTCATTGTTTAATCTGTACAGGAAGAAAACTAAAGGTCATAATGCGGGACAATAATAATCCATTTCATTCATTGTTAGAATTATTTGTACCAAATTCCTTCAATGAGTTTTATTAAAAAAAATGCAGTCTGACATTACAAGTATCTGAATTTCAGATACAATGTATTAAGCCAAATTAATGTAATTGTTGCAGAGTTAATATAATACATGAAAATATGCTTCACTGTCAAAAAAGTAAATCAATGTTGAAAGAATTTGTAGTACATTATTAATTTCCAACTCATTAATTATATATACATGTAAATGCACTCTAAAACCTGAAATGCTTATAACAATGTCAAATTTTCATAACATGTTTGTTGTTTTAATCTGAAAATTTCTGTTCAAGAAAAACAAAATTCAACAAATGTTTTCTTTTATACAAGTTGCCTTTTTTAAAATTTTGGTATTGACAGCCTAGATTGACAAGTATGTATAATTTTTTTACTCTTCATTTAAGCTAAATTTGACACATTTATATCATGAAAATATGACAAAATCAAAGTGTTATTATATAGAGAAGTTAAGCAAATACCATTCTAAAGTGAAATATCTTCAGAATAGTATTTTGTATGCAACTAAACTTCTACATGTGAAAGCTGTGGAATACACAGCTGACACTCTTACCTCTGTGCTGATATAAATGGTAACAAAAGTATAGCAGCTATTGTTATTTCAGCATATAGATACCCAGCTATACCTGACCACAGTATTCCAACCATGGCTGTAATAAAACTCACTTTTATAATTATCTCTCTATTTATATATGTGCAACTTATTTTATTAGCTGAAACATGAACAACTAAATGTAATTTTTCTAAAATTATAGGTATATGTTCAGCAGGAGTTATTTCCCTTTCCAGCGTGTACATTACAATGTAACTACAATCATGACAATATTATGTGCTTACCTGCATACCTGTAAAAACTAATCAAAAAGTGTAATAAATCCCATTTCTAAACAACTAGCACTACAATCAAGCATATGTAAATGCTGTTACAACATGTACAATATCTATTTTTTAACAATTTGAAATCAATTTATATATGGGTTTTATTTTTTTCCAAAATACTCTTTGGAACTAGGAAAAGCTTTCACATTAAACTGAATGTAATTAATCATGTTGTTGTCTCTGTCTCATTGATGTTTACCGGTCATGTTTTATTGATGAATAAAATCATGAATAGTGTTGTAGAAGTACTTGTCACCACCTGTTCCCTTTCCATAACACCAGGACCAGTGGTTAAATTTCCAACAAGTCAAATCGGCACCTGATCAATTCGCCACTTATAGGTCATTTCAGCACCTGGTTAAATCAGTATCTAGTCAAATCAGCACCTATTTAAATTCATTTCGTCATTTGGTTAGTCAATTTGGCACCTAATATTATTTTTACCTTTTCTTTCCTTTTTATTAAATGTATTTTGGGAAAATACTTTTTTGATTCTTTTTGAGATATTTTTATTATGAAAAAGAAATTAATTTTTATTTACTGACAGCTAATCAAAATTAAAGATTTCCTTTAATAATCTATTGTCAATTAATCGATACCTATTTTGGCCCAATTTAAAGCATGCGCACTGCAGGTGCTGAAAATAGTTGCGTATGACATCCTGTCTACTTGTATAAAATGAATAACGTCGGCACCCATTTTTTATGTTTAATAGCAATGGGCAGTTGTCATGAAATAGAAGTTCCTATTACTTTATAATATAAGTTCAAATAGGAACAGATATTGTGACATTGTTTATAACAAAGTTGTCATTGGAACTTCTGTTTTCTGTGACAAATATACGTTGACACATCGAAAATATGGAAAAAGGTATGGAAAAAGGTATGGAAAAAACTGAGTCCTCAATATTTGACTTGCAAAACATAATGTTTATTGTGGGCATCAAAATAACTACCTCGGGTGCCGAATTAACAAGGTCCCTATTTGACTAGGTGCCGAATCGATTAGAATTCCCGTATCCCACCCACTTACACTATGTACGTAAGCAATTCTCATTTTTTTGTAATTTCCCGTAAACCATTATACTTCAATTCCCATTTTCATGGCACAATAATTTGACTTTCACGTGTCACGCTTAGACCCCAATGAGAAACCACTTCAAGCAGCCAGCATGTGCCCACTACTCTACAACTAATTTAAACCATTTATAACATTTTAACAGTACATACTTGAAACTTTGAAACTGAACGTCAAGGAGTGTCTACAAGACTACATTCAAAAATTGACAAAATGAGACCACTATATATTCAGAATCCGGGTCCGTTCGCTCCCAATCACGTTCGCCCCCATGCACGTTCGCCCCCTTTCACTTTCGCACCCTACACGTTCGCACCCAAAGTCCGTTCGCACCCTACACGTTCGCGCCCAATTTTTATTGGTTTTGTGTTTAATAATTTGTAAACGAGTTTTGGTAAGTGTATTGCTATAACTATATATTTTTTCATTGTTTCTTAATAAAGTGAGATTCTGACAAGGTTTTTTTTGTGTCCTGGTAAATGTATTGCTATAAACATTTTTTGTTCATTGTTTTTAAATAAAGTGAGATTCTGACGACCAGTATTTTATTTTTGTGTTGAATAATTTTTAATCATGTTTAGGTAAGTGTATTGCTCTATATATATATATAAATTATTTTTTTCATTGTTTCTAAATAAAGTGAGATTCTGACAACGTTTTTTTAGGTGTTGATAAAATCTTAATCATGTTTTGGTTAGTGTATTGCTATAAATATTTCTTTTTTATTGTTTCAAAAGGAAATGGGATTCTGACAACGTTTTTTTTATGTGTTGAATAATTCGTAATTATGTTTTGGATAGTGTATTGCTATAAATATTTTTTTTCATTGTTTATGAATAAAGTGAGATTCTGACACACATGAGATCAAAGGAGCCAAGCTGTTAAAAACAATTATCTTTCATGTTTTTTATTTAAAATCTTCAAAGTTTTACTCATACCAAGCTAAATACATGCAGTAAGCCAGTATTTACTTTTAAAGCAAGTTAAAACAATCATGATTTTTAAACACTCAACAATAACATCATATTAGCAGAGTTCGCGAAAATGGTCGGTCCTGTCGGTCAAAATGAGGCTCGGACCAGTATTTTGAAAGCTAGTGCCGGTCCCGATGACCAATGTAAAAAAGGCCGTTGTAGTGCATATTTCGGCACTTTTTTACATCGGTTATTAGATGTACCGCAACTGTTTCCAATAAGTGTTTACATCGGTTATCAGATGTACCCGCTGCCAATTACCGGTACTGGTTTACGGGTTTTTTATAAACAAACCAAAGCGGCGATCTACACGTGGCCTACTAAATTTGTTCATAGAGCCATCCCTGGCAAACAATCAGCGATTGAACCCTACAATGGAGCAAACAAATACTGTAACAGCCGAGAAATCGATTCAGATGATAAAATGGATAGTGAAGATGACTTTAAATAAGAACAATCAGAAGACCTGAACTGGTCCTTCATTGTTAATTTGCCTGTGGGTGCGAAGAATAAAACTAATATTAATAAAGTTATTTTTCGATAAAATATGTTATTTATTTTATTTCAGGATAAAATTGACAGATTTTGTAGGACTGGCTAAAATTTTGTAGGACTGACAAATAATCATGCTTTGTCGGTCCCATGACCGACGGGTCAAAATAAGTTTTCGCGAACTCTGATATTAGGCTGTGTATAAATACCAATACACCTTATCGCTATTCCCGCTTGACCCGAGAATCTGTCCCGCTTGAACTTTTGACGTCATACAACAATCACTTTTCCATTGTTGCGTCAGATATTTTCTATTATGACGTCAAAATTTTACGGGAACTTTTGTGATGTCCAGTAATGGCGGCCAAATAGCGATAAGGTGTATAAGCAGTAATCATACATAATTAACATTTAATAATTAATCATCAAATCAATTTAAAACAATTATTCATTTAAAAATTCTCGAATTTTTATTTATGAAAATAAAAATATTTTACAAAACATCTAAAAATTTATCAGGTTTTTGAATAAAAAAAGGTTGCGAACGGACCTAGGGGGTGAACGTGTGGGGTGCGAACGTGTAGGGTGCGAACGTGTATTGGGCGCGAACGGACCCGATACCATATATAACTCAGTTGATTAGTGAAATTCACTAATCAACTGAGACATAGATGAATGAATGTCATATTTGTTTAGTGTGAAACATTTCTTCAATAGTTGGCGAGTTGTCTTGATTATTAGTGGGCGACTTGTCCTGATACTTATTATTTTTACAGAGACACAAACCTTTTCTATATATCTCTCAATTATTAAGATGAAAACAAGTTCCTAGTCTCGAAAATGACCTTCCTAGTCGATAAATGTCTTGTCAGCTATCAAGAATAATCGGTGACAAAAACGGTAATATGACCAAGATCGATGACAATTCATAATCTCGGCAAGGATTTGTAAACGAGATTTTAACGTTGTTATAGAAACACAAACAATATGGCGTAAAATTTATTCTGCATTATTTTTCTGGTAGTTTAAGGATGTCTCACAGGTTTGTTTATCCACTAAGTTCTAAGTTATATGAAAATTTGAAATTGCAAAGTCAGTAATTGCCTTAAAATACCAAAGTATCGCATGTTTTATCTTTGGTAAGGGTTTGTATTGCACTATATTCATATTTGTTTATAAATATTCCCAGGATTTTTCAAAACGCATGCACAGTAGTCAAGAAATTTAATACACTTACAACAGGTAAAGAAGTAATATTTAATATTACAAAAAAAGTACTTTTATGGACCAGGACCCTGAAACAGTGAAAGTAAAACCCCAAAAAATGTTGGTACCCCTAAAGTAAAAGAAGGCCCAATAATGCCTTCTTTTACTTTATGGGTCCCACAACCAGGTACCTCAAATGACCGAATAACACCGTTATTATCAGAATAACACTTGTAATGACCGAATAACACCTGAAATTTTAATATATTCACATATTGGTGACTTTTAAACATTGATTAATAAGGGGACGAAGTCCCCTATTACGGTAGAAAAATCAATAAAAAAAAAAAAAAAAAAAAAATCGGGAAAATTTCCTGAAATTTTCATTGTACTAATGTACTCAAAATCATTAACTTTTTATTTTCAGACTTTTTTATTTTCCCGCAGAAATCTACTTCCTTTTTCCGGTCTCGTTTGCATGAGTCTTTGAGTAAAATATATATTTATCAGTCTAGTAAAATATAGGAAGGAACGCAATACCAATTCCATTTTTAATAATTCCTTGAATGGCTTGATATGAAAAAACGTTACCTGATAGCGTTTCTTTGTTTACATTGAATATGACGTCATAACATAAATAACGTCACAACTAAAATTCCGAACAACAGAACCGAAATCGGAAACGTAAGGGTATTTCCGTTTCTTTTTTGAACAGATTTTGAAGTCATGTAAAAAATGTTTGAATTAAAAAAAATAATTCATACAGACTTCGTCCCCTTTCACAGGTAACGCCTGCCTCATATTAAATGATAGTATATTATTAATGTATTTTATAACTTAAAACTGATTTACAGAAAGCAGGTAAGTTCATAAAGATTATTTTAAATATAGTGTGTACATCCAGCATGGCTACCAAGGAAATCACAATGGTCGCCATATTGGATGTACACAATAAATTTAAAACGATCTTTATGAACTTACCTGCTTCCTGTTAATCATTTTTAAGTTATAAAATACACTTATGATATAATATTATTTAATAATCAATGTTTAAAAGTCACCAATATGTGCTAATATTAAAATTTCAAGTGTTATTCGGTCATTCGTGTTACCCCCCACAACCTATGTATAGTTAAATTTAATATATTTGCGTTTCTTCCAATAAAAATGTCTGTGATAAATGAAAGGTGTTATTACAGACATTGTTTCATAGTGACCAATAATGGACATGTTATTTCAACACAATTCATGACAGGAGATGATAACTCTGTCAGAATTCCCACAATAACAGTATGCCTGTTATTTTCTGTAATAACTTGTTTAAGTCATACCCTTGACTGTTTTACTTTTATTTTTGGTTTTAAGTTTAGACCTGATAAGCAAATTATATATCAGCAATTTTCACCTCTACAGTTCTCAATTATGGCTACAATAGTACAATAGTGTATATTTCTTTTGATCTACATGTACAAGCAATGTTGCGTAGACTGTATTTTGTTTTTCTTTCTTAGCACCTACAACAAACAATGGGGAGAGGGACAGTCAGCATTGCAGGATCTCCTGCAACAGGAACTCCCAGAGGAGCCACCAAAACCAGAAAAGGTTTGTTTTACACATCGTCGTGACATGCAAATTGCATAAAGAGAAACTGTAACCAACTAACTAATTTAGTGGGTGATTTATTTTTTTTGCAACTTTCTCAAGCTGAAAAAAAACCTGAAAATGTAAAACTTGTACCTTTCCTAGAATATAAATACATCTACATGTAGAAAATCACGAAATTAAATCATAAAACAGTGGTCTCCCCAAGTCGTTTTAGTGTCATGGCACCATGACGCTATAATCATTTTGAAGATGCTATTTTTCTTTGCCGCAAAATCGATCGATGTCCTAATTTATGAACTTTCATCTAATTACCGCTTGTGATCATAAAAATTATATCAACTTTAATTGTTATCCCTTCAAGTCAGACAATAGAGGCATTTAAGAGTGATCAAATTGGTGTTAATTGCCCTTTGGGTGATAATTGTTTGGATATAAATACCCCAAGTTGACACTTATGACATGACTAATAACATGTGGTCCAAGCGTGAAATATTGTCATTGAGAAAATTGAAATCATAAAAAAATTGAAATCTACGTTTGCATCATGACAGAACCCTCTCATAAGAGAAGAATAAACTACGCTGGTTACTCGATGTTGACAAAATGGCTGACCAAACCAAGTTATACAATTAGGCATTTTTTATCATGTTGATGAAACAGCAATTTTAAATTTATAAGTAAAGAAATTCAAAAATATAAACGATTTATTTCTTTAGAAAGCATTGACTTTACAGATTGGTCGTATGTTATATCAAACTAAAAACTGTTAATGAAGTATTTTCTTTCCCTTCCGGTACTTGTTACTGGAGAGCGTACATTTAACATTTTGATTTTCAGCAAATTAAGTGTTTTACTTCATTGGAACCTGGTGAAAATTGCCTGTAGTTAAAGTTTCCTTCATTTTAATTTATAGAATTTAAAGTGTCATATTCATTCCAAATCGCTTGTCAAACATTGTTTATTTTCGTAAATTTTTTCAACGGAAGTGGACCAGCTATGACTGAAATCCTCTTTCTTACGATAATAACTACAGACGCACAAATGGTACAGATGACAGAAAAATAAAAACCAAAATGGAAAATTATGCATTCCACACACATAAACAGACTCCTCCTTGCTAAATGTTTTTATTTCTATGTAAATGCATTGTTTCAATTTACTGATTAAAGTTGCTTAACTTTGTTAAATGAATGTTTAAGACATAATCTGAAACAACTGTTATACTTTCATTGTATTCTCAGGTATGAATTGAACAATATAAAGAATAATTAAATGAATAGGATATGGCCCTTTATATTATTGTGAAAAACAAACATTGTTTTTTAGTCTCACCACTTCTCCTTATCAGCATGATCAGTTTCAAAAAGAGAAGGCACTTCTCCCTATGATTATGAAGTAGTGTGAGTCCTGTTACCATGTGTTTATAATTGTTATTATTAAAGTATAAAGTAAAAGAACTTACAATTTGTTAAAATTTTATTCTCAATATAACAAATTTTGATAAGTTAAAATCATGGTCTTTGCTCGATTATTAAAATAAGATATTACTAAAAAGTCATATATTATGAGTCTTTTTTTTCAATCAAATTCCTAGACTATATTGCAATTTTATTTTAGGATCGTTTGGCAGCATTCCAGTTACTGGCAACCATGTATATAAAATATATACAAATATTCCGTAAATTGGAGCAGTCATATGATCAGATTGTCCACCCACAGAAAAGAAGAGTCTTACGTCATGTTTTGGATGGAGCAATGGGAAGAATTTTGGAACTGAAACATGAAATGGTCAACCTTGAGTTCTCAGAATACCACTACTTTGATGATGTTTTATCAGATTTAAAGTTGACACCCGTATGTACAATTAACTGTAAAGGATAAAAAAAATAAAGTCCATATAAATTGTTTGCTTATCAATTTTTACAAACTTTCTAAATTATCTCTCTTATTTGATGTTAACAATTTACAGAGCATTTAAATAAACAAAGTTCTTTTTAAAATATAAGATGAAAATAAATATGTGTTTGATTGTTCTACAGATTTAAAGTATTTTATCTGTAAAGGTCCACTTGATTCATAGAAAGGATATATTAGCAGACAGAAATTATTTTGAGGTTTTTTTCAGAATGATGTAGAAATACCAATTCCAAAGTATTTTATCTACGAAAGAATGGAAGCTTTACAGAAAAGGGAGAAAACTCTTGGTCAGATACTTGCAAAAATGGGACCACAAGACAAAGATGATGTTTGTACTTTAAATTTTGTTGCCTTACAAGAATAGGGAAAATATATCATACTATGCAAATACTATTTTGGATATATATGACACTGAAATTTTTTCCTATTCATCGAATATTACATAAAATTAGATTATAAATAAACCTTACTTTATATTGCCAGTCCGTTGATGTTTTGTTCTGAAAACAAATGTAAAACATCCGAACTTTGACCTATAATTGTTAACATTTTTATACATAGTGACTTGGATGGCACTCATACCACATCTTCTTATTTATATATATATTTGATTTTAATAAATTTACATTTTTACATGAATTCTCATATATTCATTGATCAAAAGTGAAACTTCAGATAGTTTGCCAGGATTAGACATTCAAATGATCAGTATAGATTATAACAATTGAAAGTATCAAATTTTAGCACAAAACTATAATTTGACATTAGAATTTTTCTTTAAATGATAAAATTTCTATTATTTTATTGTAAAACAATTTAACCATAAAAATAAATCCTAAATGACTTGGACTCATTTTAAGGGAAGTAACTCTGGAAATTAAGTTTTAAAATAAATTGTATTTTGGAATTGATCTGTTTTTTATTTAGCAAGGAATAAGCATGGTGACCACTTTTTAGCTCACAGTCACATGGCCAAAAGGGACAAGTGAGCTTATCTCATCACTTGTTGTCGTCTGTTAACTTTTACAAAAATCTTCTTCTCTGAAACTACTGGACTTGATTTAACCAAACTTGGTCACAATCATCAGTGGGGTATCTAGTTTAAAAATGTGTCTAATGACCCATCCCGCCAACCAAGATGGCCGACATGGCTAAAATAGAAATTAAGTGTAAAATGCAAGTTTTATCTATTATTTGGAAAATTGTTATAAATAGAGAAAATCAGACAAGGGCAAAATGTTCAGAATGTTGAGCTCTACTTCTTGCTCATAGATGTCAAAACTGTCATGCGACTTCTTATAGGAGTTATTGCCCTTAAATGACAAAATTTTACCATTTATTTTTTTTCATTTTTGCCTTTTATCTTGAAAACTATAGTAGATAGAGAGAAACTTTTTGTTGCAAAAATGATCAGCAAGACAAGATCTACAGATACGTGTGCATGGTCGAAATAGTCAGTCGACTTCTTATTAGAGTTATTGCCCTTTGATGACGATTTCTACCAATTGTTTGCGTTTTTGCCTTATATCTTAAAAATTACAATAGATAGATAGAAACTTAAAGCAGCAAAAATGATCAGCAAGACAAGATCTTCATTTAAGACAATAGAGAATGATAGATAAATAGAAACTTTGATTAGAAAAAATGATCAGCAAGGTGAGATCAACAAACAAGTCAAAATTTGATGATATAGTTACATGTAGTAGACTGTCACTCTTCAAAGGAGTCATTGCCCTTAAATGAGGATTTTTTTACCCTCTTTTGTGTTTTGAGCAAAAACTAAAGAAGAAAGAGAGGAAACTGAACAGAGTAAATGATCAGCAATACAAGATCAACAAAAAAGAAATTTTTGTCATGAATTCTATTCTTGTCTACAATGTTGGAAAGAGTCCATTGTTGATTATGCACAAAGACCTAAGTGAGCGACACAGGCTCTTTAGAGCCTCTAGTTTTCTTTTTTTATGTTTTCTAAAATCCTTTTTGCAGTATTTTATCTAAAAACCCTTCTATTTTTTTTCTAGTACATGTAACAACTGTGATTTTTCCTGTATAACTGTAACAAAATATGGAAATGTGCAAAACATGTAGCTTGAATACAACCCCATGACATATATATACTTTTTATCATAGTCATGTACATGTATTTAGAAATTAGCTACATTTTGACAAGGTAGTGAAAAGTTATATTAAGTTTATATTTATAGTTCTATACTACTTTAAATAATATTCACATTCATTTATCCAAAGTTTATTGTTGCGTGTTATCAAAAGGTCATTTCATATTTTTTATATTACCTTCAGCGTAAAGAAGAAATAAAGATGTCATTTGAAGAAGCCATCCATATTGTACAGATTCATGAGAGAGCGAGACAGGGAAGACTACGTGCTAAATTTATGAAGGAGATTAGACAGCAGGAACTTGATGAGAAGAATCAAAGACGTACTGGTGCTCCAACTCTGGATCCTGATGTAGCAGCTGTCAGAATTCAAAAGGTTATGTATATTACTGACACAAACAAAAAAATAAATATTTTTATATAACCGGTATTTGCAATAAATTCACGAATTTCATGAGGACATGCAAGCAATGAATGAAAAGCAACTTTTAATATTGTTTTTTTCTATTTAAATTAGAACCTCTACATAATATATAAGATGACAACATGATGAAATTTACTGTATACTGATTCCGTTATATTTAACCTTTCTGTGTTAACAAAGTAAATTTTATTTAAACAGGTGTGGAAAGGTTTTGCACAAAGAAGGAAAACCAAACGTGACAGAGAAGAAGAAATGATGTTTATAGGAATGGTTAGTATTTATTACTGTCCTAATATTTTTATGTGTAAGTGCATTCTACCTGTTAAAATAACTTGTATGTCTATAAAAATCACCAAGTTTAATTTCTTGAATATAACCAATTTGTTTAACTGGATAAACAATATATAGATAAGTGTCAGCCACTCTTATGTTTAAGTAAATATTTTATACAAGGAAAATCCAGGTTGTAGTAAATCAACACATTATAAACAAAGATTAACTTTTTAAAGTAGAGATGGTCAAAAACGTAAATGTTCATGAATGCTAATTAATATAAATACCAAAGAAAGAAAAAAATACTCATACAAATCTTTCAACTTGATGTGGAGCACATAACAATGTGATGAAGTTTAACAAATTTATCAGAACATATGAAAACTTCAATGTTACCAAGCAAATAAAAAGAGAAAGGCAATCAGTTCAATAAAATCTCCACTAGTGATCAAAAATAAAGTGTATGAAAAAAAACACAACAAAACAAAACTTTATAATCCCACATTCTAACATGCATATTACAGGCTCCACCTCCAAGGCCTCAAAATCTAAAGAATACTCATGAGGCATTAGCTACAAAGAGAGAATCAGAGAGAAGAGTTAAACAAACTAATTATGAAATAGAGTACCAGAATGCACTTGTACAGATTAAAGAAAAGATTAAAGAATCAGAAGGACCAGACATCAAGGAATCCATGATGGATCAAATCAGACAATGGTTCATTGAATGCAGGTATTGTAAATTTTCCATCTGATAATTCTTGAAAAAAACAATTCTATAGATACAGTTCAATCTACTACAGTTATTGGAAATATTACATCAGATCATCCTTATTAAAATAAATAATTTCACAGTGACAGTTATTTCTACTTGATATCCTAACTGACTCCTAGAAATTAACACGAGGGTCTGTTGAGAAATTATTTTTATGTCAATTGAAATGACTTCAATTTTCCCATTGTAAATGTTCCATTTTAATGTATTCTTGGTAGTCCCTCAGTGTCTTCTTATTTTTATTGTTAAATAGCCATAAAAAGATGAGAGATTTTTTAAACATATAATTACACAGCTTACTTTTTTAATACATTTTCAGGACCTCTATTTTGCATATAACTCTTTTCTGTCAACAAATGGTAACATAATTTAAAAATTGTTCTATGCATTTCATGTAAAACTGAATGCTGCTTTGAGACATTAAATATTTCATTTAAAAAAGTGTCTGATTCTCTGATCCTCTTGACCTTCAAGTCATTAACTCAAAAACTGTTAATAACCAATGCTTCAAGATATTTTTATGTAAAGAAATCGATTATTTTTTGCTGATATGTGAACCATAAATCTTTAATTTTTAAATCCAGAGATGCAACTGGAAAGTTCCCAGAATTCCCTGATGAAGATGATGGTGGATCTAGTCTGATATTTAAGGAGAAAAGTCCAGAAGAATTAGAAGCTGAAATGAAAGAAAAGGTAAAGGATGTTGCGATAAAATTTCCTGAATTATGAATTAAATTTTGACATATATATGTTATAAAGATATAAAGTTAGAAGATATAAAGTTAGAATATTTTAAATTAATGGTGAAGAAAATATACCAATATTTCAAATATGCTTTACACATTTATAATTTGTTTTAAAAAAGAATAGAGCTGTCACAGTGTTTTCTAAAATATTTACAAATATATACCCCTCTGAAAATGTTAATGTTGTATAGCTCTTGTCTGTTTTCACTTAGTCAAAAATACTAAAAATAAGAGAACTACCTGATTAAATGAAAAATGTAATGATTTGAACCACCAGATAGATAGAGAACTCCTCAACCAAACAGAATAAACAAATTAATGAATTATAGTGGACATCAAAATACATGTTCATTTATGTTGTGTGTCAGTTTTAGATTGCTTTTCAGAGTTACGGCCCTTTAATTTCTTTTGTTAGAATAATGTTTATGATTTCTTGATGATTTTTTTATGTTCTACTAGAATGTTAATTCTTTATTTCAATAAAGTTGTTAATTTTTGTGGTTTTCAAATTATACTCAATTTTTTTTTATTCAGCTCAAACAGATGTGTACCAAGATAATAAATTGAATAGCTGTCTTTCATTTTTTTTAAGTTTCTAAAGTTTTTAAATTTATCACATGAGTTGAAATTTTTGATGATGAGATTTAACTTTTTTCAATTCTGGTCTTCAGTGGTAAATGAACTGAACCAAATGTTTATTGTATTTCCACATTTTTCTATAATCTTTAGCAAAGAAGGGAATCTCAGAGTCAGGTATAAAACACATTTATACAAAAACAACAAGTTTTGTTATAAATGTCCTGCACCAGTTTACTATAAAACTTCCTTTCATTATCTGCATAATTTATGTTCATTGTAAAATAAATACATACTATATTATTTTTTATACACAAACCTTTAGAAAACTTTATATAGACTTTAAAGCAGTGCCACTTCATAATACTTGTACTTGTATTAAATTCTTTACATTTGTATAAGTTTGGTTTTGTTGTTTACTTTTTTCAAGAAAATACACCATGAAATAAAGCACAAATATTACCTTTTCAAAATTTTCCTACTTGGTTAATTTTGTGATTTGAAGAAAATAATGTTTTTCTAAAATGAATTTTTATTTGATACTTTTGTTAGAAAAATACTATGATAACGAGTTTCAAGGAGAACTTTTAAATTGTGGACTGCTTTTCAGTTTCATATTCAACATTAAAGCCAGTTTTGTTGTTGTGGTATATTAAAGAATTCCCTATTTATATATCTTATTACAGATTCATGCAGAAAGTAAAAATCATTAAAAATAGAAGTACAAAGAAATTTCATTGTCGAAAATCAAAATTGGATGAAAGTATCATTTAACCCAATGACAAATAATTTATTATAATATATTATAAAGTATGGACAGAAAGGATTTTTATAGAAAATCTATAAATTGTAAGAACTTTACACATGTGACAATGACAGACAAGAAAATATCAGATTTAAGGATTAATTTTAGGTCCCTGACGAGGCATGTTGGTGTATGAGACTTTACAAATTTTACCCAAATGACATTAGATTACTCAAGTTTAGTATTGTTTCTTGAAGTCAAATTTAAATATTTTAAAAGCTTACAGATAAGAAGTTTTTTTATTAATGGTGCTTCATACTTTTTAATCTGCAGTCCAGAAACGGGGGAACTACTACATACACTGTGTAAGAATCTATTTTCTTGACAATCTTTTTAAAAGATTTTTTACTCTGGAGCAGGAAATTGATAGTATAAAACTGAGCAAAGATAGGAACTGTTAGCCCTAAGTTTACTGAAGTTAAGAATGCTTTGTTTTCTATTATTAAACAGGAAGAAGGAGGTGGTAAAAAGAAAGATAAAAAAGGCAAGAAGAAAGATAAGAAAGAGAAAAAAGGAAAGAAAGACAAGAAAGGGAAGAAAGGAAAGAAAGGAGGGGACGATGATGTAAGAATTTAATTATTTTAAAGAAGACATCCTTTTTAATAAAACAGTCATGGTCAACTTTACATCTACAGTAGATGTTGATGATGAACTGTAGCCTAAAAATAGTAGTGCACTTTAAATATTATTTTTTAGTTGACAGTGTGTAATTGTGGTTGAGCGTTTTGTTTAAACTAATTTTTTAAAATTTATTAATGAAAGTTGGCTTTTCAAATTTAAGTGACAAACAATACATGCATATTCAAGATGATAAAATATTTCTGTGATATAAAGATAACCTGTATTACACTAGACATAATGCACTATGTACCGGTAGGCCTTTTAACTTGCCTGCTCACAAGCTAATTATCTGCAGGAAGTCATATCACCCCAGTCAGGCATGTTCTTCGCAGAAAGGCTGCTTGTTTGGAGGAGAAACAGCAAATATCAATTTAAATGTCCTTAGTTTGTCCCTGCAGAAGATTGAATCCACAACCTCCTGCACTCAATAATTAACATGCTACCATGAGACCTCTGATTTGATTACTGAATTTTTAGAACACTTTTCTGCATTATTCAGTTAATCGGTCATATATTAGAAACAACATTGGAAATATTCTCCTTAGAAATCACAATTGATTTTAGCCAAGATGGCATAACACACTAAGTGACCTCTAAAATAGCTGTGATAAATTATGACCATGACCTGTAAGATCCACATAAAGCACGTAATTTTAGTTTCAAGTTAAAAAATAATGACCACTTGAATTGTATGATGGTTCTGAATCTGCAAGAAATATTTATAGCTAAACATTTAACAAACAACAATCAATTAAACATTCAAAAGAAATGTCATTCCTCCACACAAAAAATTACTTTCTTAATATTACGAGCAAATATTTACCTACCTTATTTATCTATGTTCACAGGAAGAGGAAGAAGGATGGAAGATGCAGGAATCCACTTTTGTTCCTGCTATAAAAGATGGACATGAAGATTATAAAGGTAACTATTTTGTAAGAATCTGTTTGCAAAAATGATCTCCCCTTAAATTCATATTCCTGTATTTTAATGTGAACGTTCCCTAGAAGTGCAAACAACTAATGGCAGTATTGTTTGTATTGTTGATGAAATAATAAAAAATGAAAAAAAATCTTTGACTTCAACAAAATAACATATGATGATAATCTCTGAACACAAAATTCATGTATGAGCAAGAGAAAAATGGATATTAGGAGATTTGGTGATTGTGTCTATTAGACAGCAACCAAATGTAACAAATATCCAAAAGACATCTAGAGGTCAAAATGTAGTCTTAACAATTAAAAGAGGACAATACAATATGTTTTGAATACAGATAATTTTATGTTACTTCTTGTGTAAATGTAGCTATATATATATAGTCTTAACAATTAAAAGAGGACAATACCATATGTTTTGAATACAGATAATTTTACGTTACTTCTTGTGTAAATGTAGTCTTAACAATAAAAAGAGGTCAACGCAATGTTTTGAATACTGATAATTTTATGTTACTTTTTGTGTAAATGTAGTCTTAACAATTAAAAGAGGACAATACCATATGTTTTGAATACAGATAATTTTATGTTACTTTTTGTGTAATTATTTATTCAATTTTCAGGTGTGTGGGTCACCAGGGACGAGAAAGACAATTTCTCACAGAGACATGATGCTGAGCTAATTAAAGAAAACAAGAGAAAAGAAGTAGAAGAAGAAGTCAGAATACAAGTGGATGAACTAATGAGAGCAGAACTGAAAAATCTGAAAGCTGTAAGTTCTAACTTTTGTTTGAGATTTAAACAGGAGTAGGTTTTACTCTGTAAAATTAATTAAAGTTACCTGGGGTTGGTGGAATGACATGTTTTATTTTCACAGATAAAGCTTGTTTCTTGATAACATATTAAAAAAAACAAGGGCTTTATGCACAAGGTACACACTCTTATAGTTCAGCCATAAAGTTTGTCTTTGGAAGGAATGTACCATGGCCCAGGCCATAATCTTGCCGGCGAAATGACGATTTAAGTCGCCAAAGAATTTTGAAAATCGCTAAATCTCGCCAGCCAACTGACTTCATGGCGAAGTCAAATCGCTATGAAAATCGGTAAAAGGGAGACAACTTGTGAATTACAAGTCTCCCAGGTAAAAAAAATGGCGACTGACAAGGAAAATCGAGATTTTCAAAACGACCCAGGAATAATACTTTTGACGATCAAATTAAATAAATCCAACGGTGACTTTGAACATCCTTGGATATAACATTCAAAACTTTTCAAACGGAAAACTGACCGTCTGTTAAAGTTATCATTTTACGATGATTTTTACCTGAGGATGTTGCGTAATCACTCAGCTGATTTGTTTTATTTTTATTTATTACGAGTCGATCAAATTGTACTATTCGGTGGGGTAAGGGTGGGAATTAACGGTTGATTTGTTAAATTCATTGAATAAAAATTGAAATATAAAAGGTAGAAAGACAGTTGATGGATAATGTGATTACAAACGTACGACACTCGACCAGCTGTGATCAGCAGTGGATTTTTTTTTTCACGACAATTTCGTTGATAGGGAAGATATCTTTAAAAAATGATAGAAATTAGCTCTGTGTCGGTTAATTAATATGTGATTGACAGACATTTTCATTTATATGCTTACAATCTTTAACGAGAATTTCCATTTACAACTACATGTAACATGATGTCCTGGACATTCAATAATGTTTTACAAAATAATAAGTGGTGGTATAAATTAAATTCCCAGTCATGTGAAATTCATCAGGTGAACTGGGAGTCATATTTTTCTGGACATTTAAAAATAAATTGAGGCAGATGAACATGAATTTAATGCATCATAATGTTACTAGGCTACTCCCTCATGTCCCGATCAACAAATTTTATTTAAACTTAAATAGTTGACAGTACAAATGGTATCAATGAATAAATAAGAACTATATTGTCTAAACCTTTTTATTAAGAACTTTCTATATATACATTTTGTACAATAACATGAAAAAACTGCATTGAAGTATATTTTTTATTGCATATAAAACAATTTCCTTAGTGATAAGCACGAGAACACTATGCAACCGAACCGGTAATGGAATCTCACTTCTCCAAGAAATTGACCACTTCTCCCTTCTCTCTCATGGAAGGAGAAGTCACTTCTCCCTCTCCAAAATCCTAGTTTAGGCCCTGCCATGGCCAAAAAACTACATTAAAAAAATAATTGTGGAACCATTTCATTTGAAACTTCAGGTAGTTTTGACTCAGTTTTCTTATTACTATGTAGTTTATAGTCTTTGTCTGTGTTTCACATTAGGCTGTTGATAGAGATAAGGGAAAGAAAGGTAAAGGAAAAAAATCTGGAAAAAAGAAGAAGAAGAAGGGAAAGAAAAGTGGAAAGAAAGGAAAAAAGAAGAAGAAGGACAAAGATATAACTTCAGACAGGTAAATTTGGGGCTTGAATGCAATCTTTTGTTTGGCATTAATGAAGTTAAAACGGAAGGCTGTTTGAAGGGAAAATATGGGGTCAGTAGGAACTTCCATGAAAAACATTATGGTTGATTCATTGTTTTCAAGATGCTGTACAAATTATACAGAAGATAAATTATATATCCCCCCTCCAAGTTGTTTATTTATGAGGAAAAAATGTTTCAATTTTTGTGATGGCCTTCAAAATGGATAAATTAATTTCTTTAAAATAAGGAGGATAGATGCAAAGTAAATATTTGAAATTTTTTCTGCATTAATATATGTACTAATGTATATGCAAAACAACTTTAATACATGACTTACAGTTCAAGATAATAGTGGGAAAAGATTTTTAATAACAGACATAATTCTGGATTCTAAAAAAAAGGTTACACTTAACAAGACATTCTTTTGACAAAAAGTTAATGAAGGAATTCATATAAAATAGTATACAGAACTCCAAGGTAATACAAAAAGGGGAAGTCAATAAACACTGACAAAAATCAAATGTTATCAACCAACAGGATGAGTGAAAAACAACTGTCATATTTCTGACTTGGTACAAGCATTTTCTGTATAAGTAGGATATTAAAGTATTTTAATTTTCTACTGGATAATAGACCTTTTAAATGAAAAGTTCATGTTATAAAAATAGCTCATTGTTTTTTTTTTTATTTTGTGCAGGACAATAGACTCTTTATATGAAGAGTTGGTAAGAGAAGGTATAATAGTTAGAACTCCACAGGTCAAGTTGTCAGACTACGAGGGAGAGTACAGTTATCTAGGAACAACTTTACGTCAAGCTAATATAGAACCTATGCCATCATTAAGTGATGTCAGAAGACTAGTCACAGAGTTTGGCATTTTACCTCTAGGTAAGGTTATACCCATATTGAAGTCATTAGTCAAAGTCAGGAGAAACTCAAACTTGTCATGTAGTCATTTTCTTTACTTTTAATATTAAACTATTAAAATTCACAATTGTTAAGAATGATTGTTAATAATGGTATAGCATGTACAAACCAAAAATGAAGGATTGAGTAATAACATATAAAATACCACAAATTCCTTTGAATTTCTTTAATTAAGTAACTGTACGAAGCCTGTCAAAATGAACTAAATACTATGACAAAAGCCATTTCTTAAAACTTGAGTTACATGTAATATTTTCCTTTGCAGGTTCACCAGCAGTTCATGAAAAAGCACCTTTAACTAAATCTATATTACTGGCTGGTCCCCGAGGGACTGGTAAAAAGATGTTAGTACAGGCAATGTGTAATGAAACAGGAGCAAACATGTTTGATTTGTCAGCGACAAACTTAGCAGGCAAATATCCTGGAAAAGATGGATTAAAAATGTTAATGCATCTTGTTTTTAAGGTAAGTAGTGTAAGAGAATTCAGGAGCTGTTGTTAAAAGTTATTGTAACTTATTTTTCAAACTAAAATTTTTCTGTGTGATTGTCAGCATAAAAAAATCATATTTATCTAAAAGTAATCTTATTGATTTGTTTTTTTGTGAAAGTTACAATAGTTCAAAGGTTTAAGATTTATTACAAAATAAGATAACTTTCAACATGTTTAAAAACTTAAAATCAAATGGTTAACTCTGTTTTTCTGAACCTGAACTTTTCTATAAACTATTCAATACAGAAGCATGATTCCTGGAGAGGTCTTCCATCTTTGATATATGTTTTTTATGTCTTACTTGAAATCATTGTGTTTATATTGAAATGTAATTTTCCTCTGACACCCTTTAATATATGTTAATTTGTCTATTTCTAGCAGAGAAATATTAAGTATTTGTTTTTTATGTAGGTTGGAAGAGAACTTCAGCCCTCTGTTATTTATATTGGAGATTGTGAAAGAATGTTTAAAAAGAAAGTTCCAAAAACAGATCCGGTAAGAATTCCTATATATGTGTATATATATATGCCTTGTTTTAAATTATTATTCGTTTTTTACTAAAACCTTGATGTTGAAGAAGCTAGATATTTATATTTTATCTTGCTTATGAGGTTTTGTACAAAAGCATACCAGGGTACCTGGTGTCAGAAATTTTGAGTTTTTTTAGATCAGTTTTGGTAGAGGTACAGGTCATATATCTTATACTATGGCCATAAGTGTTTCATTTTCTTTTAAAAAACTTCAAATATAAGAATAAACAATGATATTTTTTTCGATTTCATTAAAAAATAAGTTCATATTGTTTTTTTGTTTATGTAGACTGATCCAAAAAGATTGAAAAAGGAACTTCCTAAACAATTAAAAACTATTAAAGGAGATGATAGGTTATTATTAGTGGGAACTTCACGGTGTCCATTTGATGGAGAGATGAAACCACTGACCTCATCATATCAAAGAATTATTTTGATACCAAGACCTGACTATGCATCTAGACATTGTAAGTATATTTTAGATTCAAATGTTTTAACTTTTGAGAAATGTATTTAGATTAGATAATGTAAAAAAGTCAGACATGTACTAACAACATAGAAAATGTCAGACTGTCCTCCAATCAGCTTCCAATTCAAAATTAATGTTAGATAATGTACTAGGTGATTATTCAAGTGGATCTTAAAAAGACTTACATGAATAAATGCTGTAGACAGAGAATCAAGTTCATATCAGTATGTAACCATTATTCTGTGTTGCCATTTAAAAAGCATTACCTTACCTTATTCTCTGTTGTGATATAAATTAAAGCTTATCTAAATTATAACCATTTTCAGTTTCAAATCCTATGAGTTTATAAGCTTTTTAATGCAAAATGCTCTCTTATCAGTTTGGTATTTAGAATAGCATACATCTACCAGCAAACAAATAAAACAAAAATAAAACTATTCAGTCTAATGTATTATGAAGGAGGTGTGGGTATATGGCTATGAAACAGCAACCAAAGGACATAAATAAAATAAAAGACATTTTGAGATCAACATATGGTCTTCTTCAAAAGGCAAAAAGTCCATACAATATATCCCTCAAGCCAGAAAAGTTTAGAATAAATTTAACAGAGACTATCAAGGATCTGCTATCAACATCCTATCAAATCCCTCGGGACCAAAAGAAAAAACTAACCAATAAAATAAACTAGAGACAATCAATAACAAGGTTCCTTAGACTTAGACATAACCACGAAATCAAACATCCACAAAATTGAAATTTTTCCTCAAACTATGAAAATTGATATCGACAAAAATAAATGAATCCAAGGTAAGCCATTTATCACATGGTGTTCTTTTTGAATGAATATATATCAAAAGTTTGTATTTGTTCCAATGATATGCTTTCTTTACAGTATTATGGCGAAGATTAATTTTAAAACATGGTGGTACTTTAACCAACCACCTTGATGTCAGCTCCCTTTCCAAAGTAACAGATGGTTATACACCAGGTCACATGGTAACAGCGATACAACAGATTCTAACAGAAAGACGAATTCAGGCATTATCAAAGAAACCATTAACATCTGTAGAATTTATAGCTCCTTTGGCCAGAATAGACCCTATATATAAAGAAGAAGAAGAGTCATTTAAGGTATGTAGAATATATAGCTCCACTTGCCAAAATAGATCCTATATATAAAGAAGAAAAGAGTCATTCAAGATACATAGAATGTATAGCTCCACTGGCCAGAATAGACCTCCTTTATTAAATTATGAGAATTGTTTGTTTAAAGCATGTATAACTTATAGCTAGACTGGCTAGAAAGGACACTTTATAAAAGGAAGAAGAGTCATTCAAGTGATAGCATGACTGGTCAGAATATAAACTCATTTGATGAGTTGCTTATGTGTAGAGAAAGTTTAAATATAAACAGAGAGGAAAGCAAAAATTCTAGCTGTCATAGATCATTTTGCATTTTCTTTAATTTTTAGTTATATGCTTTTGCACATACATTTTTTTGAGACAAACAGTTAGATAATAAAAGTTTTGTGAGTAGAACCTTTTTAGGGTTAAGTAGGGATTTGTTGTAGGTCTATGGTTTAGATGGTATTGACTTGTTATCAAACATTATATCAAACTAGAGATAACAGGACAAAATGATAGTTTGAGAAATGAAATTAGTTAGAATTCTATTTGTCTTTCTACTTGCAGGGTTGGTATGCTAAAACTCCATTAGGTAAGAAGAGGGCAAAGGCTGCACAGGCAGATGAAGATGGAGATGGTGGAGGAAAAGGTGGCAAGGGAAAGAAAGGCAAAAAAGGAAAGAAAAGAGGCAAAAAGAAGGGAAAAAAGAAGAAGTAAAATCTGTGATAAAACTTTTGACAGAGACACATTCCGCCCAAGTGATATCTTGTTTTTATACACTTTTATTGACTTTACATGTATGAATAATAATTTATTTTAAATATGATTTATGAAAAAAATGTCTCATTTTTCTTTTAACAACCAATGAAGACAAGAAGCTACATGTATAAGTTCAGTTAGTATTTTCGCCCAGTTTTCTAAATATCTAGCTGCCTTCACCCCAGGACAAGTAAATCTAGGCATAACCTGGTCATATCTGGATTGTTTTTTCCATACATTTACTCTTTCCTGATTTGTTTTCTTACTTTTAAAATAATTAGTTGTTGGTGTATGGTGCTGTTTGTTGAGTGGCCAGTATTTATATGCCCCAGCCGCAGCGGAGGGGGTATTAAGTGTTACCCTTGTCCGTCCATATGTCCCAAAATTAGTTTCGTTCTCTAACTTTAGTTTACCTTAACCAAATGTTATGAAACTCATACACAATGCTTTTAACCACACAACACGGATCAAGTTTGAATTTGGGTTGCGTCACTTTTACGATTTTTGAGTTATTTCCCTTTATAACGTAATATAAAGCAGAGGCATCATCTGTGTCCCATGGACACATTCTTGATTTATTTATTTATGTCTGTTGTTTTTTATGTGGATGTGAAGAGGCAATGGTATTACTTTTCTGGCTGTTGAAGTTGCAGTGTTAACAATTGCAAATACTTTAATATCTTTTCTTCTCTTTCATGAAGATTTATTTGGAGTTTACAAGTCTATAATAAGAATGTGTTAGACACTCTGAGATCTCACCTTACCTCTTGTTCATGCTTCAGTGTTCCTTGAATCTTCAAGATTTTATTCTTTCTTACCTGACTTCCAGTAAATATACAAGGCAGAAACATATTGGTATGTAGATTTATTGGTATAAGTATCAATCTCTCTGACATAAAATTGAGAAAGGAAATGGGGAATGTGTCAAAGAGACAACAACCCAACCAATGAGCAGAAAACAGCTGAAGGCCACCAATGGGTCTTCAACACAGCGAGAAAATCCTGCACCCAGAGGCAGGCTTCAGCTGGCCCCTAAACAAAAATGTGTACTAGTTAAATGAAAATGGACTTCACACTAAACTCCAAAACATATAAATGAACTAAAATTAAAAAACATACAAGATTAACAAAGGCCAGAGGCTCCTGACTTGGGACAGGTGCAAAAATGCGGCGGGGTTAAACATGTTTTGTGAGATCTCAACCCTCCCCCTATACCTCTAGCCAATGTAGAATAAACAAACACACAGCAATACGCACAGTAAAACTCAGTTTAAAAGAGGTTTGAGTTCGATGTCAGAATATAGTATATCATTTCAATGCTCCAGTAGACAGGTTAAGCCTGAATAATACACTGTGGATTCATTATTATTCGTGGTATGCTAATTTTTGTTGATTTCATGGGTAAAGATGAACTACAAATTCAAATACTCAACAACAAAATTTGCTGTAGGCTTGTATTAAGAATTTCCATTCCAGCAAAATCAAGTATATCCAGGATGATACAATTTTCCCTCAATCCATGAATATTAATACCAATAAAAATAAATGAATCCACAATATATATTTTTGGTGACTATACATGACAGGTCAACAGTATTTGGAATGTGGGTATATTTCCATCTTACATACATTAAGTGGTGTTGATTTATTTTTTTTTTTTTTATTTCTCACGGCCAGGTAAAGATTTCCGGATTGGGTCTGTTCCTTATTAACTTTGGTAGATACAATATTTGGTAAGGGGATTTATGAAAGATATGAATGTTTATCTTGCCTAATTTTCATACTCCTGTGGTCAGGTTTTTTTTCTGGCTATTTCCGTAATTATTATGCAAGACATGTAAACTTTATTTGGTATGGGCATTTTCCGTGAATATATATGTTTGTCATAATCACAAGAGTGCTGCAGGTCGTGGTTTTGCTCCCAGGCCAGGTCAAACCAATGACTTGAAAAATATAATTTGCTGCTTCTCTAATAGCTCTAGGTATTTAGGAGCAAGAGCAATTACTGGTCAAAAATCAGAATAATGTGTAAGAGAGGGTGACATGTCTTCTGCAGACCAAGTGAACTTTCCTCAGTAATTATCCAAACACATGTACATTATATTTTATATGTGGATTTGCTGTATGTCTTTTGGACATGTATCATATGGTTTTGATCTCATATTCACACATTGACTCAGTGGTCTCATGGTAGCTTACTCACCTCAAGTGTGGGAAGTTGTTGGTTTCATTCCAGGCTAGGTCAAACAAGACTTATTAAATTAATATTTGTTGCTTCTTAGCTAAGCATTTAGGAGTAATAGCAAAGACTGGGCAACTCTCTGAATAATGTGTCCAGGTAGGGTGACAAGTCTTCCTGTGAACCTTGTGAACTAGCAACTATCAAGTTAAAATTCTGGCTCAGGGTGTCATGAATCATATTCATTTCTCATTACGATGATGTCCTGAATATCGATTTAATTTGTCTTTGGATTTTAAACAGCAATCCCTCAATGCATCATATTCACACTTTTTGTTTTTGTCCATTTCTCAAAAATTTAAACATGGAATGTCAACCAAAAAACATAACTTCATTATAAGGAGTACATGTGCATCTGACAGGTGTCATTTGACCTTGAAAGTTGTAGATTAGTATATTGCTGATGGTTCACTTTTTATTTTTTTTAAACTACCTTTATGGTTTTGAGCTAATTCTGGAAAACTTGTTCATTCAGTTTTGTATGATCAAAACTGGCAAGGAAGAACTCTTTTAAAAATAATTGATCGGCACTGATTTTCAATTTTGTCTCAGACATTGATGATATAAACCTATAATAGAAATTTCATCAAAATTTGGCAAGAATTGTACATGAGAGTGCTAACCATGCAATCTCCATATAATCAATATTTCCAAGGAGCATAACTCTTTTAAAATAATTGATTGGCGCTGATTTTCGAACTCATTCAAAACATTGCTGATATAAACTTATATCATAAACCTATGATATAAGTTTAATAAAATTCTGGAAATAATTGAACACATGAGAGTGCTAAGATTGCAATTTTCCATTTAATCAATATTTCCAAGGGGCATAACTCTTTTAAAAATAATTGATTGGCGCTGATTTTCAAACTCGTTCAAGACATTGCTGATATGAACCTATGATATAAGTTTCATAAAAATGTGGCAAGAATTGTACACATGAGAGCGCTAACAATGCAATTTTCCATATAATTAATGTTTCCAAGGGGCACAACTCTTTTAAAAATAATTGATCGGCACTGATTTTTGAAATTGTCCAAGACATTGCTGATATAAACATATGATATAAGTTTAATAAAAATCTGGCAAGAACTGTACACGTGAGAGGGCTAACAAGCCCTGACTGACAGACGGACACCAGGTATTTCTATGTCCCCCCGCAACGCATTGCGCGGGGGACAAAAAGGATATCAAATGCACTAGAGGCCCTTTGGAGGGGACATAAAGACTTTTTGCAGAATCACTTAATTATATATACTTAAGAGAGTTAATTTGAGTTATTGGTTAATACTGGTTTGGCTCTACCCCTTCTCTCTTCTAAGGAAGGGAGATGCTTTATATTTTTTGTAAGGTTTGTCAGTCACAACTTCACAAGAATATAATCCTATCTGTGAACGAAATGCAAATGTAAAAACAAAAATGCTATCAGACTGTCAGGTTGAGAGAAAACTATTGAACATGGAATGTTATGACCATGTAAATGCTGCAATAGCAATATATTTGACTTGTATGACTGTTTTTTTATAATCATAAATTAGTGGTTTCCTTATTTGGAAAGAAAATAGGATAAGATAAAACTATATTTACTTTTAAAATATTTTATTAGGAGTATATACATTAGCATTAAACATGCATGTAAATATAAAAACAAAAAATAAAAAGTAGTAAAAGTTTAAACAAATTTGTTACTACAGAACACATGATTAACAACCCATTATGACAAGACTCATAAAAACGGCAACAAAACTTTATATAACTCATAAAAAGCTATTGAACTTCAGAAATTATCAATAGTTATATTTGAAATGTAAAAGCAATGCCAATCTAATATTCTTATTTGGACTAAATAAACTGTTAACACAGAGATATGTCTCGCCTTTTTGTTATTTTGATAGTAAAATGCAAATGTTAAAATTAAAATAGCAATACTTTAACATGTAACTTATGAAAAAATATTCAAATAAGCAGGACTGAAGGTTCAGGGCCAAACAATCTCCGTGGAAATGAGATGAGCCAATGAAAATTCATATGCATGCTACATTGACCTAATACTAGTGGTTCCTAATAACATGACCTAATCACAAACTAATACATGTAAATTAAGCAAAATTTTTAAAGTCAATAGACCATGACTGAGAGGGCGGGGCCAAATAATCTCCATGGAAATGAGATATGCCAATGCTAATACAACTGCACACCAAATATTGACTTACCACTAGTGGTTCCTCATAAACTGACCTAATCGCAAACTAATACATTGTTGATGCTGCAGCCGCTGGAAACTGATACCTATGTCTCACTTTTTGACTCCATCAAGGCGAGACCAATATCAACTTATCATGTACATTTAGAATTAATTAATAAGATAGACAATGTTTGCTTATATATATATACTCAAAAACAAATGAAACACATCACTTCCATTAATTTCTTTGGTGTAAAAATTTCTATAACATTTTTAATAACTTTTTTAAAAGAGATTGAAATTGGTCAAAATTTAGGTTTCCGAAGTCATTAACACTTAATTCTGTGAAAATGATAATTTTCTTAATTAAAATTTTTGACATCTCCAAAAAACACATTTTTAACCAAAACTAACATATGAAAATGATTACAGGTAACTGACCTTTCAATTCCCAACACTATTTTACACTACTATGAATGAAGATATAAAAACAAATTTGTTATTTGAAGGGTAAAAGCATTTAAGTCTCTATGATTGATACTGGTTATTATAAAATAATAAACATCAAGACCTAATCTTAACTGTAAATAATTAAAAAAATAAATAAAACATCTCCAAGTGTATCTTTATCTGCTACTATAAATAGAATTATATATGATTAGGTCAATTTGGTTCATGGAGAGAAAGTCAAATTTTCCATCCAATAGAAAGAAATTGAATAACCATACAAATTAACAAGTATACTGTTCAAGATATCTTTTATATGAATAACCATTTTAACATCAACATGCCATTTTAGTTAAAGAAATATTGTATGTTATTTTTATTATGTGGTATTTAGGAATAATCAAATATCAAAATTCTTCAATAAAACACCACAAGACTTTGTTAAATCTTGTTTAAAGTATTGTTGCAAATATATTCAATGCAATACTGATAACAAAGATGTATTGTTAATGCTATATTTCCCAGGTGTGATGAAGAGCATATTATCCCCAACTGTGGACAGAGTTCTCAAAATCTTTTTTTTTCCCCTGGTGGTCCTTGAAGAAAATCTACTGGTCCCCACTTTTTACTGTTTTCAGTATTTCTACTGTGGATTCATCATTATTTGTGGGATACCAAAATTTTCATGGATTTCATGGGTAAAGGTCAACCACAAATTTAAATGTTCAAAAAAGTTTACATTTTCTAAACATATGTATACAGACTTTGGCAAATCCACGAAATTAAATATCCACGAAAATGCAAGTTTTCCTCAATCCAAGAAAATTGGTATCCACGAAAAATAAATGAATCCACAGTATTGCAAAATACCATAATTGTATCGGTCCTTTACAAAATTTTGGTAGTCAAAACCTTTGGACCACCACTTTTCGAGAACTCTGTTTGGATAGAACTTATGTCATTGGGTCCTGGAATTAACTGTATATATCATATTCTATTCAAAGACACCATTCACTAGATTGTCAATTGTTACATTAAAATGTTGAAGTTACATTCAACATTACATAATTTAAATACTCATGTCAAAATATAAAACCTGCTAAATAACAATTCAAATATTAACATAAACATGAGAATGCAAGCATTTATATTATTATGGTTCATTGTTGTTATTTTAATAAACATGTACACAGTTAATTTTTGCTCATATGCACAGTATACAGTTTCCTTATCAAAGTTTCACAAGAACATGAGCTGAAATTTGTCATGTGCATTTTAAATTAATATGCAATACTTTCAAAATTTAAAAATCATGTTCAGATAAGGTATATGTCCAGCAAGGGTAATTATATAAATAAAGAATTTTATTGTGAAAACTGATCTCAAAAGAATTCTTTCTGATCTTGAAACACAATTACAACCATTGTAAGAGTTCCTGCAGGTTGAAGTTTTTTTTATAGCAGGAAAAAATTCAATTTAGTATGAGAAACAGATAATTCAGAGAATATGTGAAATTTATAACTGAAATAAAACTGCTACAAATATTTCCCTATAAAGGATATATTTGAAAATAACCAGGAATAAAAAAAACCATTATTACAGTAACATGAATAAAATTAAAACTAGGGTATATGGTCAATGAGACAGCAACTCAATGCCACAAAAACATCTAGAAGTTGAATTACAGTCTTCAAAAATAAGCAATTGTCTATACATTATGTCAATCTCTGAATCACCTTATCTACATAGGCAAAAATGATAGGTATGGAATAATTTTATCTATGGAAAGAAATGCATTTAATACCAAATTTCAAAAGGACAAAATATCAATAGAACACTGCAGGCAAAATTCCTTTATAAACTAGTACTAAAGGTATTGAGCACTTAGTTTATAAATCATAAAATCTGCATAAAATAGTGCACTTAATTTGCATATGACAGAAAAATAAATAATGAAAACTAGAGGCTCTAAAGAGCCTGTGTCGCTCACCTTGGTCTATGTGCATATTAAACAAAGGACACAGATGGATTCATGACAAAATTGTGTTTTGGTGATGGTGATGTGTTTGTAGATCTTACTTTACTGAACATTCTTGCTGCTTACAATTATCTCTATCTATAATGAACTTGGCCCAGTAGTTACAGTGGAAAATATTTTGTAAAATTTACAAAAATTTACAAAATTTATGAAAATTGTAAAAAATTGACTATAAAGGGCAATAACTCCTTAAGGGGTCAATTGACAATTTTGGTCATGTTGACTTATTTGTAGATCTTACTTTGCTGTACGTTATTGCTGTTTACAGTTTATCTCTATCTATAATAATATTCAAGATAATAACCAAAAGCTGCAAAATTTTCTTAAAATGACCAATTCAGGGGTAGCAACCCAACAACGTGTTGCCTGATTGGTCTGGAAATTTCAGGGCAGATAGATCTAGACCTAATGAACAATTTTATCCCGTCAGATTTGCTCTAAATGTTTCAGAGATATGAGCCAAAAACTACATTTTACCCTATGTACTATTTTTTAGCCATGTCGGCCATCTTGGTTCGCGGGCAGGGTCATCAGACACATTTTTTAAACTAGATACCCTAATGATGATTGTGGACAAGTTTGGTTAAATTTGTCTTAGTAGTTTCAGAGGAGAAGATTTTTGTAAAAGATTACAAAAATTTACGAAAAATGGTTAAAAATTGACTTTAAAGGGCAATAACTCCTTAAGGGGTCAACTGACCATTTTGGTCAAGTTGACTTATTTGTAGATCTTACTTTGCTGAACATTATTGCTGTTTACAGATTATCTTTATCTATAATAATAATCAAGATAATAACCAAAAACGGCAAAATTTCCTTAAAATTACCAATTTAGGGGCAGCAACCCAACAACGGGTCGTCCGATTTATCTGAAAATTTCAGAGAGGATAGATCTTGACCTGATAAACAATTTTACCCCGTTAGATTTGCTCTTAATGCTTTGGTTTCAGAGATATAAGCCAAAATCTACATTTTACCCCTATGTTCTATTTTTAGCCATGGCGGCCATCTTGGTTGGTTGGCCAGGTCACCGGACACATTTTTTAAACTAGATACCCCAATGATGATTGTGGCCAAGTTTGGTTAAACTTGGCCAAGTAGTTTCAGAGGAGAAGATTTTTGTAAAAGTTAACGGACGGACGCCAAGTGATGAGAAAAGCTCACTTGGCCCATTGGGCCAGGTGAGCTAAAAAATATATATATATATATCATACTTTCCAAAATTTACAAAATAATAAAGGCACAAAGCATCATAAAAATATGAAATATGTATGGCAAGCGGTTTTACTATTTATTCTAACTTCAAGATATCTCATAACCTTTATAAGATATCTCATATAGTATATAAGATATCTTATATAGTTTATAAGATATGTCATATAATTTTCTTTATAAGATATCTCTTAAATTATATGAGATATCTTATAAACTATATGAGATATCTTATAAACTATACAAGATATCTTATAAAATATATGAGATATCTTATAAAATATATGAGATATCTTATAAAGTATATAAGATATCTTATATAAAAAAATACTTATAAGATATCTTTTAAACTTTAGAAGATATCTTGTAAAGTATATGAGATATCTTATAAAGTTTATAAGATATCTTATAAAAACTGTTTTATATAAGATATCATATATATTATATGAGATATCTTGAAGTTCGAATAAATAGTAAAACCACTTGCCATAAATATGTCTAAATAATGACAAATTGTAAACGATCTCAAATTAAAAAAATCATAACGATTATGAACACGCAATCACCTTTCTTATGATTATAAAGACATTTACAATGTTTTATTTGTTTGTGGAATAAGAATGTCTGTCTGTTCTAAAATAGTAGTAATTATCAGGGGCTCTTTTTAAAAAAATCTTACAATAAAAAATAATTGTAAGTTATACTGCAATGTTCATGACTTACAAGTATTCTTTTGTGAAATGAGTCGCAGGACCTTTCAATAAATTATACAAAGACTGAATACCAAAGTTATCCAAACTATAAAATGCATGATGGCAGATAACTCAGGTCAAAGTAAGTTTGAACCCATAAAAGATTTCAAAAAGAGAAGCTTAATTTTTACAGTGGAACCAGAGTGACCCAAAACTTTTAAATCTATTTCAAGACTTATCCAATTTGCTGAATTGAATGTTTAATCCATGTGTTCTTAAACAAGCATTCTGAGAGTATTGCATGGCAATACATAGTCCCCTACCGGTTAAGAATTCATTGTACTGGAACAAAATGCTAACTTGATCTATAACTTTGCATTGTGTAAACTATATAACAAATATCAAGTCAATATCTTCAAGCATGACGAAAAAAAGTGTGGAATTTGAGTGAATTTTCTAAGTCCAAGGACCATAACTCTGCACAAAATCATCAGACTGGAACATAATTCGAACTTGATCTGTAACTTGTTATGATAAAAGTATATATCAAATTTCAAATCAATATCTTCAAGAACGAAGAAAAAAAGTGTGGAAAACTGATTGCTGGACTGACAGATGGACAGAGTGCAAACCTAAAGTCCCCTTCGACTTCGTCAGTAGGGGACTAATAAATCCCCACAATATTGTTGATTTTCCTGCAATTAAAAAATAAAGATATGTCTTACAACCAAAAAATGAAGAATTGAAATTTTTTTCATCACAAAATGTATTTTTAATATTGATTGTCAAATAGGTAACACCTTCTACATATAAAAATTTAAATAAGGCTGTTTTATTGTCAAGCAGTCATGATAAAAATCATTTATGGATTTCAGATACACACAATAATGAATAATCTTATAAAGGACAAAATATCATCCTCAAGGTGTAGTACTTGCAAAATAATTAAATTCTGTGAATTGATTTCAAATATGAAAGCTGTTTACACATTTACATATATATTCCCAAGGGTCTGAGTTAATTTATGTTACTGGGACTCTGTCCTACAGTAATCCCTCTGTCTGTCTGTCCATCAGTCCATGTGTGTTTGTAATATGGTAAGTCAGGAATGCTTCAACCAATCAAAATATTTTTTTATGCAGTGTTTATATAGAAAAAAGGAAAATCTCTTTTGAATTTGACAAAAATTGTTTACCGGTACCTATTCAAAATTTGTAAACTTGCAAAGAAATTTTATATCTTGTGCAAGCAGAGGGTCCTTCACTCACATACCAGTTTTCTAGTTTGTATTGTAGGGTTACTGAAAAATAAATAAAATTCTGTTGGTGGTAACCCAAAATAAATAGGTATAATTTTTTTGGAAGACACCCAATAAAGAATGATTATAGTAATAATCGAAAATATTATTTGACAATGCTGACTAATCAATATTTATTACTTCACAACAGTGAGTTCAATCTATTCTGTGATTCAGTTTCCTTGTAAAATGCTTGACGAAGATACTTGCTGAATTTCTAATAGTGTATATATCATGGAGCAATCAAGAACCATAAGTTGAAGAAAAATACACAACACCAAGGCAAAAAGTCCACAAAACATGAACTTCACAGAAAAACAAGGTTCAAAGGTCACGCAACTATTTGTGAAATTTAACGATATCAGGTTAAAAAATGTCATCAAGGTGAGCTAAAACTGAAGGGTGTCATTAGTAGAACAATATACTTGCTTCCCTACATCTGTTTGATTTAAAATATTGACACTGTTTATTTCTGTATCATTAAGCCTAATGATAAGCCAATTATACTTTACATAACATAACAATGAACATGTCAATACAAATTCTATGATATTCTTTTGACAGCCATAAGATCACTCCATGATGATAATTCAGAATTGTAAAAAGAATTGGACCTTATACTTGAAGTCAGTGACTACTGCATGATTTACCACTGCCTTCTTATCTTTTAAAAGAATGAAATTTTATCTTGAAAAAATATCCGTTTGTATCAATGCCCTGCATTTCATTAAAATATGACTAATATTTACAGAAATTCAATGATCTGCATTTAAGGTTATTTTGGCTTTCATTTTTTAAAACAAAACAATTTCAATAAGCAGACCATATTCATGTGGTAAACCCAAAATAAAGCACTTAAACAGCAATAACATATTTCTTGATTTCTATCAAACAAGAATGTGTCCATAGTACACAGATGCCCCACTCGCACTATCATTTTCTATGTTCAGTGGACCGTGAAATTGGGGTCGAAACTTGGCATTGAAATTAGAAAGATCATATCATAGGGAACATGTGTACTAAGTTTCAAGTTGATTGGACTTCAACTTCATCAAAAACTTCCTTGACCAAAAACTTTAACCTGAAGCAGGACAGACAGACAAACGGACGGACGGACGAACAGACCGAAAATCATAATGTCCCTCTACTATCGTAGGTGGGGCATAAAAACATTTAAAACAAGAGAAGTAATTTTTTTGCTCTGGTTTCATCAAATGCTATAATGACATTAGTGACATGTAGTTGACATGTACATGATGTATGAACACTATTTCCCTCCAATATATTCCTTCGATTTTACCAGGTTAAACATGTTAAAAAATAATCAATCAAATATCAATAAAAATATATATATTTTTGCCTGTAATACAGGAGATTTATTTTCTTCAAACACATGAAGAAAGTAAAAAGCAACCAACAAAAATAAAACAAATACAGTCATGGCAGTGATGGAATTGAGTAATGGAATGGTTGATTGTTTCAGTACATAAAATACTCAAATATTAATTTAAAGGTTTTACCGCAAATACCAGTCAAATGTGAATACATGCAAATAAAGCATGATCAAATATTTTCTAAAATGTCACTAAAGTATCTCCTTTGACAATCAATTTGATAACACACTGGTATTTTTAATCTCTGGGTTGGCAAGAAATGATTGTTTTATGAATTTTATGGGTATCTGGAATAGGGGAATAATGTTGACTGTTGTTGAGCCAACAGAGTCTTTGATCTTACTTTTAAATACTGCAAAAGTACTTGTTGTTTTTTATGGCTGGGCATTCAACATTCATTGTACAACTTCTCACACTGGGGGCAAGCTACTGCACAGAGATAACCAAGGAGATTAAGGAAAGGACATGACATGGAAACAAACACCAAAAAAGAATGAGAGGTTATGGGTACAACTTTAAAATAAAATATAATTATAGAACAGAACTGAAAATGGTTTAATAGTATTGAATCATACGTTACAGTTTTTGGCCAGATCCTGATAATTGGAAAATTAAGTTTTATTAAAAAAATGTTGTCATTCCCCAAAAAAGAAAATCATTGACCAACACAAAAACACTAATGATGAATACAGGGACTAGATAAAAAACAAATTTGGTTAAATGCTGAACATTTTAGATGAAAAAAAAACATACAGATATCTTAGTTACTTGTACACCACTGAACAAAACACAGATATCTTGGTTACTTAAAAACACCAAGTAACTTGAATTCATCAAACATGAATTGATTTATGTAAATTAATCTTTACTAATCCTCTAATATTTCTGCCATCTTTATTTCTTCTCCAGCGTCTGTTTCATCACCTGACTGGGAGCGATTGTATTTTCTGACCTCATTTTCATACAACTGATAAAAATTGACAATAATAACTAGTAAGTTTTTTACGATAAATATAGATACATCTTTCTGAACAACATGCCATATCAACAACCTCATGATAAGAAATGGTAAATTAACAACGAAAATTAAAAGTAGCTTGTGCAAAATCAAGAGAGATTCAGATGTGTTCTTGTATCCAAAATGAGAGTTGCTCAAGGTCATCAGTGGAAATATTGGTAGTATGAAATTTATACAGGAAATTGAGATTATGGCCATACACATTCCTGATGGTAAATCAAATCTATCTTTTGGATCAAATAAGACGTCTAACATATCTACAGAATCTAAAATGTCAAAAACAACGGTGCCGCTGAATTCTTGGATCCGATGCATTCTCATGGTTCCTGGTTGTGCATCATGGTGCATCATCAGTAACAGCAAAAATACAGCACATGCCAATGAAATAGTGATTTTCAAGGTGTTTGGTCCAAAAAAGTCTGTTTCAACTAAAAATTGTGCAAAGTCACTGAAAATGATAGCAACCCTAGCTACTAAAGCAACAGAGTACACAAACCAGGCAAAATAACCTAGGGGAAGATTTCCTGCTTGTACCGGAGCTTGGGAATTAGATGACTGTCTTACTATTAACAAATGACGATAAGATATAATGAACGCTACTATGAACACAAATAATATGGCAACATCTGCAGCAACCCATCCATACCAATACACAGTCTTATGTGAGATAAGGTAATAGTCCAAAACTCCTCCCTGTAGTATGATGATAAGGAAACATAACACACGGCTGGGGATCTGGTACATAGATTCACACATATGGATACAAACATTAGCCATGGCTATACTGGTTACTGAAGGTCAAAGCTTTACAGGAATATTTTCTCTCAGTATACTTGATTGCCTTATACTAATGGCTTCAATATCTCGAACTTCTCATCATTAGCCTACAAAAGAGGGATAGAAAATTAAAATAAATATTCAGTATTTGTTATTGAAGTACTAAAACATAAAATGAGTGTTTTTCAAGTGTCACTTGCCACTGGTAATCACTGAATGGCAAACTCTGATGCAACAAACATAATAAATGGTCTAGTCTTATTTTTTTAAACCTTGAAATCATGCTAATGAAATCTTGATTTGCACAACTAAACTTCCTACAGAGGAGTCTGTTATAGTGGCTTTCCTCAAGTTGTCTGGTTCCTTTAAAATCATATTGATAACTTATATTTTGTAATGAAAATCAATGCTATCAAACATTTATATAGAAAATGTGAAAGCATTTATAACAACAACAATCGTTTGTAATTTATATAGAAGGTTCACATCGTCACCTCAATTGAAGAAGATTGGTTGGTTTCAAGTAAACAAGAGTGTTACAATCACATAATGTGTATTCATTATACAGACAATGCATGATGTCATGTATGAACTCGGTTATATGCAGGACGCAATCAGTCAACTTAATAAAAAATAGGTATTATATTTCCATAGCTTTTCTTTAATATTACCATGATTGCATAAATAATTTCATCAAATTCCAGTTTGTAACATCTAGAAGTAAACAACTAAATGATTAATTTGTCAAAATGATTTTCCTACTGCCAACAAAGACTGCCTCAAATTTAAACAATGAAATGAGTGAACATTCTTATACAAAGCATGCTTACATCTGTTGTATTTGATGTACCCAATGGCTGAATTGACATAAAATTACCAATTTTAATCAGATTTATACATTATGTACAGTGTAATAATCATTTTCGAATTGTAAATAGATTGACATTTATGGTAAAAAATGATAGTTAATTTGTTAAAAGTTTATCACAAGCTATTTTCCCTCTTTACAAAAATTACATGAATAAAGGCACATTTAAGCAAAATTATTTTTTTATAAAATTAAACTTCAAAGATCAAGTTGTTACATTGCAAGATCTAATTGTCAACAAACTGAAGATGACCTTAGGGTTTATCAAATTCGGAATTGGAAGCAGTGATATCTCCCTTCAAAACAATTTTACAATTTATAAAAAACTAGAGGCTCATTGGAACCGTAATAACTTCCCTGGGATGCAGAAATATGCAAAATAACAATCTTTTAATAGCAACAGTGTCAGCTATCTTTAACAAACTAACATAATAGTATTGATGTGACTAGAGTAGATTGATCCAGTTTCACACATTGAAAATAGTAAAGTTAGGGATTTTAAAACACCTGTAAGGAGTCAACTGATATCCTTCACTTGATTTTATATATGTATTACAAATGTGTAGCTTTCAAAATATGTAGAATATTTTGGTTTTTTTGGTTATCAAATGAAAGCTGAATGACTGGTGATCATTGTAGAACACTTTTTGACATATGATTTTGAATATTAAAAAAAAGGTATAAAATTTAAAAAAACAGGGTCCGTTTTGCCAGTTTCTCAGATTTGAAGTACCCGTTTTTTAGTACTTCTGAAGTTCCAGGAACCAGTCCTCTCTTATATGCAATTAAAGGTAAGTTGATTTTTTCAGTACAAGACACTATAAGGTACACATTGCTTTGACATGCAAGGACTGTCAGTTTATTTGAATTTAAGACAAAAGAGCTGTGACTGCTTTAAATTGAGGAATTTAACATAGAAAGCAATGGGGTGATGAATTAATGGTATTCCTATTACAGAAAAGCATCAGAAATTAAATTTTTAGAAGTTGTACCCATTCCAATGAAAATTGGTCATATTTAATGTCAGTAATCATGTTTTTTCAACTTTTTCGGATGAAAAATTCTGTTGATGGGAAATTTCAGCTCTTTTTAAAAATTGCCACAATAAGGTATTTCAGCCTTTTTTGGTCATACAACATGCATACAGTTAAAACTTAACCTGAAATTCCAATTTTGACATTATTTTGGATTGAAATCAATGAAACATGTATATTATGACTTCTTCATGGTAAAAAAAAAAGCTCTTGGTCAAATAATCCTATGATTTTTCAAGTTTAATTGGTTTACTTATGGAAGCAATTTATAATTTAGGCTAAATCTCACTTAATATGCAATTCTAAGTTTAGCAAGTTGTCCAGCCTATGGATATATAAATTGTTCTTATTAATCCACATTATACATGTTATACCACAGAAGTACGGTTTATACCAAAAATTTCCTTTTCCAATTTGCAGAAAAAAGAGGGGTCAACATTCTCAATTATGTCTTTTTTTTTGGACCAATATATTTTTATTTAGTGAACAAATCTCTTATTGATTTGATTTTGATTTTTGATGTTTTAACGCCGCTTTTAAGCACCGCTTTTGAGCTATTTCGTGGCGCCAGTTTTTATTGGTGGAGGAAGCCGGAGTGCCAGGAGAAAACCACCGACCTTCGATAGGAAAACTGACAATCCTAGTCAATTAAGATTGGAGTCGAGTGCACCCGCGCGAGCGGGGTTCGAACTCACAACCTCAGTGTTGACTGGCTAGTGATTACAGTAGTAACTACTTAGACCACTCGGCCACCGAGGCTCCCACAAATCTCTGATGAAAATATAACATATTGGTAAGCACATCGTATTCCTAGTAGAAATTAACAAATTAGAACTGGTGATATTGAAAAAAAAACTCATATTGGTCATCAGTGGTAATATCCATATGCAGTGTCCTTTGCAAATCTGCCAAAAATGTACACATGAGAGTGCTAACAATAAATATTCAATATAATTAATATTTCCTAGGAGGCAGAACTCTTTTAAAATTAATTGATCGGCACTTATTTTTGAACTTGTCCGTGACAAAGATATAAACCTATGATATAAGTTTCATAAAAATCTGGCAAGAATTGTACACATGAAGCACTAACAATGAAATTTTCAATATAATTTAAATTTCCAAGGGGTATAACTCTTTTAAAATAGTTGATCTGCACTGATTTTTGATCTTGTCCGAGACATTGCTGAGATATAAACCTTTGATATATATTTGATATAAATCAGGCAAAAATTGTACACATGAGAAAGCTAACATTGCAATTTTCCATATAATTAATATTTCCAAGGAGTACATGTATAACTCTTTTAAAAATAGTTGATCAGCACTGATTTTCGAATTTGTCCGATACTTTGCTGATATAAACCTATGATATAAGTTTCATGAAAATCTAGCAAAAATGTAAACACGAGAGCGCTAACAAGAACGGACGGTCAGACGGATGGAAGCCCCGTATTTCTATGTCCCCCACAACTCGTCGTGCTTGGGACAATAAAATACCATTATTTTGTCTGTTCTTTCATGACCAACATCTACACAACATACAAAGTGTAGACTCTTGACAGGAAGTGCATGTATAGTTGCTGATGCGGGGACTGTGAGTGTTTAATGCAACTCGTTTAATGAGTTTCCGTGGATACAAACATATTGGGGATGAAAATCTATGGAGCGCTTGCACAGTTTAACGAAATACTGCTTTTACAACCATTGTTATATTTCAAAAAATGTTCAATGGATTTTAAAAGCCTTGTCTGTTTTTAAAGATAACTTCAAATAAATAGTGAGTTAATCAAGTATATACAAACATGACAAATATATCAAGTGCATGGTATTAAATCATTTTATACATGTATGTATATTTTATTTCATTTTAAAAGATGACAGTAGTCTTTAATCTTGAACTTGAACGCTCAGTTTTTCATCAAATAGATTAGTTTGTAAATGTGATGTACAAATGAAAGATCTTCTTTAATGCTAGTCTGTTCATGCATTATTGACCCGAAATAAATTTGTATTATTAGGGTTGTAAAAGCATTGATCTTTTTCTCATTTTAAGTTATATGTAGCACTTCTGCGCTTCATCGAAAAGTTCAACACTTTTACACCCCAATTTAATTACAAAAAGAAAGCGCTTTAAAAAAAAATGCTTTACCTTTTCCATCTGTCCATGTCTGATCAATATGAAAATCTCAATGAAGAGTTGAATATGTGCATATATAACTGCACCGTTTCATGAATTTCAAGAGACAGTTATCTGGATTCTTTGTCAATTATGCCAGGAAATGTTTTAAGGCTTTAATTAAAATTTCCCTGTTCAGGGATTTCCTTATTTTTTGTATAACTTGAACAGATGAATCAATATGGAACTTCCAGTTTAATTGGATATATTGTAATATTTATGCCAAGGTCATAAATGTATTAAATTTACCTTATTTCAAAATTACATTTCATGACAAGTAGTTTGTCTTTGAATATACATTCATGTATCTCTGAAGTATCATGTTTACACATTTCATAAAAACAAAATTCGGTCTTCAGTTAGCTCATATTGGTTACGCGGAATATTAGTTTCGAATATTTACAAATAGTTGATTTTAATTAAATGCTTGAAAGGTTGTTCACAATTGTACATAAGTAAAATGTTTTGATCGTGTTTTGGATATGTAGCCAAATAAAGATGTCGTTCGAATTAATTGTTTTCAACAGTGTTGCATCACAAGCTCAGTTTCGTACACCGGTCGTTTCTCAACACAACACTAACGGTTGTGCCGATGGCAGAGGGAGGACAATCAAGCTCTCCTCCTCCTAATTGGAGCTCTCAGATCTTGTGCAGGTCTGCATATTGTGTTTTAAGCTTCCCAGGCCACAGTGCCTCGTTTCACAGATGTTTTCTGTTTCAGCAACATGTGCCGTTCGACTGGTATGCCTTCTAATTCTACTGAGTACTGGAAGTTCTAGATAATTTGGGAATAAATTCTAGAATTCATACCAGTCAAATGGCACAAAACCTCCTAAGTGGTCTATTATTGAAGGGGGTGTGTGTTCGATCTTTGGTTAGGTCAAACCAAAGACTGAAAAATTAGTAATTGCTGCTTTTCATCCAAGCATACAACATAATTTGAGATTGGTATTTGCTGCTTATAAGCTAAGCACACAGCATTTAGGAGTAAAAGCAAAGACTGGTTAGCCCAGTCAGAATTATCTGTCCAGGTACAGTAACATGTGTTCCGGCAGACTGTTGTCGTGTGACCTAGCATGTTAAGAATCCAACTCAGCATGTCTGTCTAGTACTAAGTAGTGTGCATATTCATATCATATTAACACATCATCCTGAAAATGTATATGATTTACCATGTGAGGTTAAACAGCCATCCATCTATCGATCCTGAATATTTTTAATATTTGCTGTATGAGGTTAACATCATGAACATCAATCAATAAAATGAATGGCATGATACTGCTGCACTATCTATACAAGATAATAAGATTACAGAAGAACCATGATGGCATTTGCAGAGTTGTGATCTATATGGATCTGTAGCAGATGAAACAGATATTTGTGTAGACTACAATTAACTTGAATTAAGTTTTCCAAATCTTTCAGTGGTTTTTTTCCGGGATTTGTGATCTTGACCTTTGATCTATGGTTCTGAACATTAATAGGGTCTAGCTTCTATCCAAGTATAAATACTAAGCTTATACATGTCTAATATAAGTTTGGCTATATATTTGAACAACTTTTGCCCTAATTTGAATCTATCATTATTAATGTAACCTTGGCCTTTAACATAGTGACCTCACAATCAAAATAGGTGTTTATCATCTCATGTTTGTCTTGGTAACATGGATATGGGTAAAAATCCAATATTTGGATTCATTAATAAAATTGATTTGATTTGATTCTCATAGGGATTTATAAAAGCAAAGCATACATGTATGGTTCAAAAGACATGAAAACAAAAATTGCCAGCATTTAATCAAACGATTACCTTGACTTTTGACCTATGGACCCAAAAATCAACAGGGGTCCTTGTACAGTTCAAATCATGATAACATCAGGAAAGCAAAATTTTTCAAAATTTCATTTTATGAATAGCTATTGACCCCAATATTAATCGGGATCTTCCTAATCCCTTGAGGCATAATCTAACAACTTGATATTATTTTGATATATCGTGTAAAAAAAAAACAAAAATGACAAATATCATTCTATAAATAACTGCTGTGACCTTGACCTTTGACCTAAAATCAGTGGAGGTCTTCAGTCTCACCCAAGGCTTCCAAAACGGTCATATATTCCGGACATTTGTATAATGTCCGGTAAAAGTCCGGCTGGGCAAAGCACGAAACGGTCATCTACTTTTTAGTTTTCAAGGCTTTTTCAAGAGACGGTCATAATAATTTTTAACATAATTCGCGATCTTTTTGACCCAATCTTTTGCCTTTAACAGCCACACATTTCCGGTCATAAAAGTGACATGATCATTAAGTACTATCAAATTGAAAACAACCCATACTTTAATACCTTCTCATTTTAATCAAGGCTAATTAGTTGTCGAACAGCTGAAATTGACCTGTTCAGGTGACAGGTAAACTATTTTGAACCGGACATTGATCGGTGTATTCAAAGTTATTTTCTTACATTTCACCGGTTTGCATCTAATTAATTTAGTCAGAAATACATTTACAAATATGATTTGATGAAAAAATTAAAAAGGTGAAAATGAAAAATCGTCATAACCACGTTGTTTGAACCAGAGACATGACTCTGTTTGAACTAGTACACGTGTGCGCAGGTGTGAAATTTAAGTATGCATCCTAATTTCTTCAAAAAATGTTTAAATTGTCATTGATACCTTTATCTCACGTTTATTTCGAATATTTTCTTGAAGAAATAACGTAGAATGAGCTACTTATACACTCATTCATGCTTTGCAAACGTACACAGAATTTACGTATCCGTCTTTGGTCCATGTTTTACCATTGTCACGATAACATCCGGTAGATTTAAAAACAAAAGTAAAGTATTTGACAACGTTATTTTGCACAAATAAAAAGTCTAAGGCAGATATAAGTACGGTGATGTTGCACACTTCGAATGATGCACTGCCAATTTAACAGTTTACGTCAGAACTTCAAATTTGAATCAAAGAAAGTTTAATATCGTTTTTTTTTTAATGTCAATCATTCTTCTTCTTCTTCAGTTATACAACAAAACTTCAGGATACTGAAGATTACTTGTTGTTGCGCATGCGTGTTAAAATTTAATTTTCTTGTAAATGCCAATGAAAAAATATATACAAATTTGACAATTTGAGCATGTATATTACAAAAACTAGTGATTAAAATAAAAATTATATACAAAAATTTATTGTCTTGATTTAAATCAGTTGGCAGAGAACACCTTGTGTAAGGTGTGCTCTGAAACTGTCAACTGTGGTTGACTGTACTGTGGCTATAGGTAGCATGTTCCATTGTATGATGGTGTGTGGGAAAAATGACCACTTATATGTTTCCTTTGTGGTTCGTATATGTCTATAAGTATTTGGATGGTTTTGTCTTGTTCTACTGTCTGTTGGTATTAAAATTTCAGATGGTATGGCAATGAGGCCGTGAATTACTTTGTAAAATATAATTAGACGTGTTTTAAGGCGGCGTTCAGCTAATGTCGGTAGTTTTAGATTATTCATCATATTTGTAACGCTACTGGTGTTATGGTAGTTGTTACAAATGTACCTAGTTGCTCTTCTTTGAACCTTTTCTATTTTTTGGGTTGCATCTTTTGTGTGAGGGTCCCATAAACTGCAGCTGTATTCTAATTTAGGTCTGACTATTGCTTGATATGCTCTTGATTTAATGTCTGTGTTTGATATTTTTAAATTTCTTTTAAGGAATCCTAAAGATTTATTGCCGTTTGAGATAATGTTGTCATAATGTAGGTTCCATTTAAGATTTGATTGTAGAGTAACGCCCAGATATTTAGCAGATGTAACGGATTCAAGAATGTGACTATGAAGGATGTAATCATGTAAATATGGTTTCTTTTTATGTGAAATTGAAAGTTTAGTGCATTTATCAGGGTGGAAAGCCATAAGCCAATCTACTTCCCACTTTGCTGCAACGTTTAGATCTTCTTGTAATTTATCACAGTCTGATTGAGATTTGATTTCTCTATATATGATGCTGTCATCAGCAAAGAGTCTTAATTTGCTATGTGTTAAATATTCAGAGAAGTCATTAATGTAAATGAGAAATAATATGGGGCCCAGTACAGTACCCTGTGGGACTCCAGATGTAACTGGCACTGATGTAGAATAAATACCATTTATTACAACTGTTTGTGTTCTATCGGATAAAAAAGCTTGGATCCATTTAAGTGTATTTTTCTTTATACCATAGTATTGAAGTTTGTAAAGTAATCGTTGGTGAGGAACTTTATCGAACGCTTTAGCAAAGTCCATAATGATAAGGTCAATTTGAATGTTACTATTATTACTAGATGATAGTTCTTGAATGAAGTCAATTAATTGTGATTCACAAGATCGGTTTTTTCTGAAGCCATGTTGTAGATTATATAAAATGTTGTTTTGTTCTAAATGTGACATTATGTTACTTGTGATGATATGTTCCATGATCTTACAGCATATACATGTTAATGATATGGGTCTGTAATTTACAGGTTTATATTTTTCCCCTTTTTTAAATGCTGGAGCAACGTTGGCATGCTTCCAATCTTTAGGTGTTTCCCCTGACTCTAATGACTTACTGAATATTAATGTAAGTATTGGTGACACTTGCTCTTTTAATTCTTTTAGTACTCTACCGTTTATATTGTCAGGTCCACATGCTTTGTGGGGGTTAAGATTTGATAGTAATTTTGTGACTCCTGTTTTGCTAATAGATATTTGTGGCATTTCAAGATGTGGGCTAGTACCTTTGTCTGGGATATTTGTGTTAGATTCATTTGTGAAGACCGACTGAAATTGATGGTTTAAGATGTTTGCTTTTTCTTCTGTTTCAGTGATTAGTATACTGTCCTTTTTTAAAGGTGCAATACCTGTGCTATCTGTTCTTGTGCTTTTAATATAGCTAAATAAATTTTTGGGTTTTGCATTTGGTGTCATATGTTGGTCAGCATCATTTACAGGTAAGTCACAGATTATTTTTTCTATGTAGTTCCAGTAGCCTGTACGTAGTTCTTTCTGTACTTGCTTTTTAAGTTTTTTTAATTTTTCTGGATTTTTCTTTCTCTTGCTATATGCTTTATTTTTGTTGTTAATAAGTTTTCGTAATTTGTTTGTCACCCAAGGTAGTCTATGTTTATATGTTAACATTTTATGAGGTACATTTTTTTCAATTGATGTTACAAGGTCCACTTTAAAGGTGTTCCATAATGTGTCGACATTACTTGTTTAATAGTCTTTATCTAATGTTATAAAAGTATTTTCTAAATCAGACTTGATATTATCCCAGTTAGCCTTATCAAATTTAAGAATTTTTCTGGGTACTTCCTTTACTCTTTTGAGCCATGTTTCTATTTCAATATAAACTATGTCATGATCTGCTTGACCAACTGGTGGTAATGTTGTAATTTTGTTTATATTTGTTGGGTTTGTAGTAAAGAATAGATCTAGAATTCTATCTTTACGTGTAGCTTTATCTGTCACTTGATGTAAGTTGTGATCATTTATAATGTCTAGTAATTGTTGATGCAATGTTGGTTCAGGTTTGCCTGTAACTACAGATGGTATAGACCAGTCGATATGGCCCAAGTTAAAGTCGCCTCCAACCCATATATTCGATGTTGAAGTATTTTTAATTCTATTTAATGATATGTTTAAATTTTCTAGAGATGTTCCGTCATCAGCGGGAGGTCGATAATAAGTACCAATAATGATCTTTTTAGTACCTGTGATGTTTATTTCAGACCATACAAGTTCACATTCGGTTTGTAATTCACAAATTTCTGATCTTATGAACTCTTTTGTTATTGCTAAAAGTACCCCTCCATGACTTTTGTCTTTACTATTAGGTGTTCTGTCTTTTCTGTATACATTATACAGGTTTGGTGGGAAGAATTCTGATGATGGTGTTGTTTTGTTCAACCAAGTTTCAGTTCCCATGATGATATCAGGTTTAACTGAGTTAATGATCTCTTGTAAATCTGGTTTTTTGTTACAGATTGATTGAAAATTTATATTAAATATTATAATTGGTCTCTTTATTTTACTTTGTTTTGCTTTAGTTTTGGTATTTATATTTTGTTTATATCTGTCCTCTTCCTGTACTTTAGGTGAAGAAGAGGCCGTTGGTGCCCCTGGGCTACTTAATACTGAACATCTACTAAGGGTTGAAAATTTATTTTCAGTTTCAACACTATATGTTGAATTAAATATTGCCATAGAGAAATTAGGCATACCACATTGTAAACATTCCCAAGACACATTACTTGCATCCATGAATCTAAATATATTTGATTGTATGTGTTGGCATTTTATGTGAAACCATGTTTCACAGCTATCGCAACAGATCGCTTGGTGTTTCCATGTTACTACTTTTGAGCATTGGGATGGCCAACTCGGCAACTGATTACCATAATTGCCTTTTCTTTATTTAGTCTTAAGGGATTAAAATCGGGATAATATATAAAATGTCCGGCTGGCTAAAAATAATTTTGGAAGCCCTGGTCTCACCCCATTGGCCATTATCAAATCAATTTTGGTAAAAGTTGGATATAATGCCCAAAAGAAACATAATTACATATGAACATTTATCATATAACGTTTGTTTGACTTTTTATACGACCGCAAAAATTAAAATTTAAATTTTTTGGTCGTATATTGGTATCACGTTGTCGTCGTCAGCGTCGTCCAAAGACAGATGGTTTCCGGATAATAACTTTAGTATAAGTAAATAGAAATCAATAAAATTTTAACACAAGGTTTATAACCACTAAAGGAAGGTTGGGATTGATTTTGGGGGTTATGGTCCCAACTGTTTAGGAATAAGGGGCCAAAAAAGGGGCCCAAATTAGCATTTTTGTAGTTTCCAGACAATAACTTGTGTTAAAGTGTATGAATCTCTCTAAAATTATACCACAAACTTCCATACAACAAAGGGATGGTTAGGATTGACTTTGGGGGTTATGGCTCAAACAATTTAGTAATTAGGGGCAAAAAAAGGGGAAAAACAAGGGTTTTTCTGCTTAAAGGACAATTCAGACAATTTAAAAGCAGTGTAAGGGAGGTAATCCAATTCAAATTAAAGAACAGTTTGATTACCTCCCTTACACTGCTTGTAAATTATATATTAAGAAATGATGATTGTCTTGAGGTGATTAGCTGTCAATTTATTTTTAGCAGTTACTATTAATTAATATTAATTTTAGCCATGACTATGTATGTCCTTTTATATTTTAAAACTTTTATGATGTATTTTAATGGGTAATTTTGGTTGCAAACTGCATTAGAAATTTGAATTGAGATACTGACCATATATCAAGCGTGAATATTGTGTCCATTTTGGCCCAACTTTTCAGGGTTGGACATCTGCCGTCGTATCCAGCTGCGCTCAGCGAAGCAATTTATTCACAACTTGGCTAAAAAACAGATTTGGTGTATGTATCAATGAGACAGCAATCCACAGACACAAAAAAAAACTCGCAAACATAGATATGTATAGGTCAACATAGGGTCTTCAACAACAGACATCATGTACAAGTCAGATGTTTATACAATATGCAAAGCTCTAGATGGCCAGAGGCAATGTATTCTAAACATTTTTTTTTGGAAGTCATGGTTGTATTACTGGTAATAGAAAATTTGATTCATGTCCATTTGTAAGTATAATGATTGATAATAGTTTATTGTATACTTCCAGGTATTACTTACATGGTGTTTGTCGTCAAGGTGATGGCTGCCCATATTCTCATGATAAATCCAGTAAACTATCCATGGTCTGTACATTTTATCAGAAAGGACAATGTACTTACGGAGACGGATGTAGGTAAGTTTAGAAAAAACAATCTTTAGATTTTCAAACCTGGAACTGCATTAAATGGTGGTTATTTATGTGAAACTTTCCTGAAAGAATAGGAATATATCATAGTTAGAATTCCTTAAAGAAGCAAAACTTTTTATTTTAAATTTAGAGTGTTAAGGCAGTTTCTGGAATGTCATAAACTAGATTGAAATGAAACATTATACAAACATTAAGAAGAACATCTGGGAACAACTTTCTGAATTTCATTGCATTGTTTTGTTTGTTTTTTATACGACCGCAAAAAAATTTTTGTGGTCGTATATTGGTATGACGTTGGCGTCGTCGTCGTCCGAAGACACATTAGTTTTCGCACTCTAACTTTAGTTTAAGTGAATGGATCTCTATGAAATTTTATCATAAAGTTCAATACCACAAAAGGAAGGTGGGGATTGATTTTGGGGGTTATGGTACCAACAGTTAAGGAATTAGGGGCCAAAAAGGGGCCAAAAATAAGCATTTTTGTAACTTCCAGACATAACTTGTGTGTAAGTGTCTGGATCTCTCTGACATTGTACCACAAGGTTCCATATCACAAAGGGAATGCTGGGATTGATTTTGGGGGTAATTGCCTCCAAATTTTAGGAATTAGGGGCCAAAAAAGGGGCAAAAAACAAGCATTTTTTTAGTTTCATGACAATAACTTGTGTGTAAGTGTATGGATCTCTCTGACATTGTACCACATGGTTCCATACCACAAAGGGAATGCTGGGATTGATTTTGGGGGTAATTGCCTCCAAATTTTAGGAATTAGGGGCCAAAAATGGGCAAAAAACAAGCATTTCTCTAGTTTCATGACAATAACTTGTGTGTAAGTGTATGGATCTCTCTGACATTGTACCACATGGTTCCATACCACAAAGGGAATGCTGGGATTGATTTTGGGGGTAATTGCCTCCAAATTTTAGGAATTAGGGGCCAAAAATGGGCAAAAAACAAGCATTTCTCTAGTTTCATGACAATAACTTGTGTGTAAGTGTATGGATCTCTCTGACATTGTATCACAGGGTTCCATATCACAAAGGGAATGCTGGGATTGATTTTGGGGGTAATTGCTTCCAAATTTTAGGAATTAGGGGCCAAAAAGGGGCAAAAAACAAGCATTTTTCTAGTTTCATGACAATAACTTGTGTGTAAGTGTATGGATCTTTATGAAATTGTACTACAAGGTTCCATATCACAAAGGGAAAGCTGGGATTGATTTTGGGGGTAATTGCCCAAAATTTTAGGAATAAGGGGCCAAAAAGGGGCCAAAAATAAGCATTTTTCTAGTTTCCAGACAATAACTTGTGTTCAGGTGTATGGATCACTCTGAAATTGTACTGCAAGGTACCATATCACAAAGGGAAGGCTGGGATTGATTTTGGGGGTAATTCCCTCAAAATTTTAGGAATAAGGGGCCATAAAAGGTCCAAAAAATAAGCGTTTTTCTAGTTTCAGGACAATAACTTGTGTGTAAGTGTATGGATGTTTATGAAATTGTACTGCAAGGTTCCATATCACAAAGGGAAAGCTGGGTTTGAGTTTGGGGGTAATTGCCCTAAACGTTTAGGATTTGGGGCCAAAAAGGGGCCAAAAAACAAGCATTTTTCTAGTTTCCAGACAATAACTTGTGTTCAAGTGTATGGATTTCTCTGAAATTGTACTGCAAGGTACCATACCACAAAGGGAAGGCTGGGATTGAGTTTGGAGGTGATGAATCACAAGGGGGTTCAAAAAATTTGGGGGGAATTTTTTTTTCCTTTTTTTTCTTTAAAATTTTCCATTTTAAATTGGTTATTTCTGATTTATATATAAAAGCAAATAATAATGATATGGTTTGAATAGGTAAATTAAAATTTTTTAAGTTCTTAGACCACTTTCATTCTTTGTCAGAAACCTATGCTGTGTCAAATATTTAATTACAATCCAAATTCAGTGCTGTATCAAGCTTGAATGTTGTGTCCATACTTGCCCCAACTGTTCAGGGTTCGACCTCTGCGGTCGTATCAAGCTGCGCCCCAGCGGAGCATTTTATTAGACATATTCATGATATTTTGACCACCATATTTTGTTGTTCTCAAAATGATTGATCAGGTAGAGTGTAAGGCAATTTTATTTATGTAATCAATACATGTCAAGATTAATTAATATAAAAATAAGAAGACAGGTATGATTGCCAATGAGACAATGATCCAGCAGAGTTCAAATGATGAAGATATAAGCCATTATAGGTCACCATACCGCTTTTAAAAATGAGAAAAAAACCATACTGTATAGTCAGCTATAAAAGGATCTGACTTGAAAAATGTGAAACAATTCAAAAAAGAACACAAATGGCCTAATTTATAACAATACAATTTACAAAAAAACAAATATGACAGACCCCCTCCCCCAGACCCCCCCAACTAACCTTGGACAGTGGTGTGTTAGCACAACATAAGAACAAATTGTAAAAATCAGCTGCAAATGGCTTTACTCAAAAGATCGGTACAAAGCACAAAAAAACAATTAACATGAAAACAATATACATGATATTCACAAAGCACCTATATAATGTCTCTCAGTTACTGAAAGCTAGTTCAAAGCCAATTACAACTAATGAATAAATCATGTTCTCCCAGACTAACCATGGACCAGAACCATTATTTAAATTTTTTGGAGGGATTTAGCTTTATTCAAGAACAGGATGTGATAACATTTATACTTTAGCTGAACATCTCAAAGACACTCATGGTATGAATTATATTGTTCATTTATTTGTAGGTATGACCATGTAAAATTAAACCCAAAAATTTCGGACTCCAAAGGCGTACATATCCTGCCTATGGTGTCATCAAAAAGCTCTCCAATCAGTAGTAATATGGTCACATTGAAAAAAGGAGGGGAGACAACTCCAAAACCAACCAAATCCCCAATGACACCGAAACCAGAAGATTGGGTGAAAGCCAAGGAATTTGTACCAGGTCAACCTTACACATGTTCGAAAGGTTTGATTATATAATATGCATTGTATACATGATTTACAGTTTATTATGTCAGTATGACAACTGTAATTTTTTATGACTAAAAATTTGTTTTATATGACCATGTCTTATAATACTAAATTAAAAAATCTTCAATAGAGATTAAGGCAATATTAAAATTCTTTCCATTGTTAAAGGACAAGTTTGGCCAGCAGATAGAAATCTCATACATTTTAGAATATATATATAACGGTACTGTAGATTATGAGAATTATCGTCATCATTAACTGTATTATTTTAGACAGCTTTCTTTTTCGGATTGTTTCTTGGTAAAAGGACAACAACAAAAAATAGTTCTATGTTATGATAAAGAATTTCTAACATATATATTTCATTTTTGAAAGAATCTTATTTAAATGAGACAAAAAAGATAAGTAAAGTCATAATAGTATTGTATTTTAGTTCCGGCGTCCTATGCAGCAGCTGTAGAACCTACAACAGAATCCTCTAGTCCATGTATTGTTAAAGGAAGTAAAGATTTACTCTGTCCCTACCTTGCCCAAGGTCATTGTCCATATGATGAGGAGTGTGAATATCTCCATGGAAATATCTGTGATATGTGTGGACTAGCAGTGCTACATCCTGAAAACAAGTCACAGAGAGAAGAACATCAAAAAGTATGTTGGCTTGTCATTCGCATATAAAAATAAGGAGATGAGGTATGATTGCCAATGAGACAACTATCCACCAAAGTTCAAATAAAGTGGGTTTAAGCAATTATAAGGCCTTCAACAATGAGAAAAACAAATACCGTATAGTTGGCTATAAAGGGCCCTGACATGAAAAATATGAAACAATTCAATTTAGAAAACTAACAGCCTAATTTATGATAATCTATTTGTTACCCAGGTTTAGTAAATATTTGATACTGTTAGGGAAATTTTCCTTTTCATTATCCAGTAGAAGCATAGCATTTTTAAATATTTTTAGATCAGCTAATCAAATGATCTTTGTGCCATTTGACATTAGTCTGTGTCCATTGTCATTGTCATAATTTGCCTATAAACATGATAAACTTTTAAAGATTTTCACCTTTTGGTTTTAAACCACTTTCCCATTATGAGCTCAATATACATATGGTCCTTGGAAGTCCCCTTTTCAAAAGTATATGTATATTAAGTAGTCCACACCCCATCTTAGACACAGCAAGAGCCTCTGATTGGCTTAGTTATTGCCTACATCTCCGAAACTGCTTTATATATTTATAAATTTTTAAAATGTAGCTTATCGTAATCAAAGCTTCTGTTTTCAGCATCTCTGAAGTTTTTTGAAATCTAAACAAAACATAATTTTGGTTAAATATCAAAATAACCAGGCATCACCATCTGTTTTTCAAAATTAAATTTTTGAGATACCCTTCCCTGAGTTCCCTCATCTATCCTTCAAAATTTATGACCACCATCCTTTCAGTCAATCCCAATCTCAACTTTTTGTAGGAAAAACTGCATCTTTTTCTAAAATTACATTGGCAAAGTGAAACTTAATTGGTCATTTTCTATTGATATAGACCAAGATGATTCTATATAATATATCAATTTATGCTGAACCAGTGAGGGGAGGGGGGAGGAGTGATATAATTGTTTTATTGGTATAATTGTAATACAAAAATATTGTAATTAATGAATAATTAATCAGCAATATGTCCTACTAAAATTATTTAACAAAAGTGAAACCAGTACATTATTTTACTCATCGATATGATGTCTTTAAAAATCATTAAATTGGGGGACCTTATCTTACCAGTACTTTTTATACTACTGCAAAAAAATTTTTTGGATCATATAATGGTATGATGTCGTCTGCGTCGTCGTCCGAAGACACATTGGTTTCCGGACAATAACTTTAGTTTAAGCAAATGGATCTTTATGAAATATTTTAAGAAGGTTCAATACCACAAAAGGAAGCTTGGGATTAATTTGGGGGATGATGGTCCCAACCGTTTAGGAATTAAGGGCCCAAAAGGGGCCAAAAACAAGCATTTTTCTAGTTTCAGGATAATAACTTGTGTATAAGTATTTTGATTGCTCTGAAATTATACCACAATGTTTAATACCACAAGTAGAAGGTTGGGATTCATTTTAGGGGTTATGGGGCTAACAGTGTAGGAATTAAGGGCCAAAAAGGGGCCAAAAACAAGCATTTTTTCTAGTTTCCAGACAATAACTTGTGTGTAAGTGTATGGATCTCTCTGACATTGTCACACAAGGTTCCATACAACAAAGGGAAGGCAGGGATTGAGTTTGGGGTTAATTGCCCTAAACATTTAGGAATAAGGGGCCAAAAAAGGGCCTAAAACAAGCATTTTCTCGTTTCCAGACAATAACTTGTTTTTAAGTGTATGGATCTCTCTGAAATTGTACTACAAGGTTCCATACTACAAAGGAAAGGCTGGGATTGAGTTTAGGGGTTATTGTTCCAAGGGGGGTTCTAAAAAGTTGGGGGGGGGGGGGGGTTCCCAATTTTTTTAAGGGATTCATATTTTTTTTCAAAATTTTTCAAATTTCGAATTTTTGAAAAGTTTCAAGAAGAAATCTTCTATTGCACACTATTGCACAATCGAATTGTAAGATATTTTACCACATTTATTTTGTGTCAGAAACCTATTTTATGTCAAAAATTTGATCACAATCCAAATTAGGACAGTATCAAGCTTGAATATTGTGTCCAAATTTGCCCCAACTGTTCAGGGTTCGACCTCTGCGGTCGTATCGTGCTGCGCTCAGCGAAGCATTTTATTCTTGGATAAAATAAATTTTGAAACTTTTGAAAATCATGGAATGATTGAAACTGCTTTTGTTAATTCAAGAATTCTTAAGCCATAAAAGTAGAATATGCTGTAAATAGAAAAGTTATTATTTCCAATACACTGCTGTAGTGTAAATCTGCACACATTAAAAGTCTGAACTAAATAGTGTATGTCAATGCGTGTGCTTAGAGTTAAAAGGTGCATGAACATACAATTATTGAGTGTAAGTAATTCTGTTTATGATTTTAGGAATGTGTAAAACAACATGAACAGGCTATGGAATTATCATTTGCTGTAGCCAGAAGTAAAGACAAGTGTTGTGGAATATGTATGGAACATATCTTGGAAAAAGATAATCACCAAGAAAGAAGATTTGGAATAATGTCAAACTGTAATCATATCTTCTGTTTGCCATGTATACGCAAATGGAGAGGGGCAAAACAGTTTGAAAACCAAATAGTCAGGTATTACATATGTTAGAAATACAGCTAATAAATGTGATATGGAAAAAAAAAATTAACACTGTCAAACATATGTAACATTAAACAGAGTTGCAGTAAAGTTTGTTACAATCTAATCCTGTATTCAAGGATCTCTATGGATGAAATTTTAACCATGGAGAAACTTCCAAGGAAGAAACCCAGTGCTTCATTTTCAAAATTATTGAATTCTTCCATTTTGCTGTAAGGAATAATGAGTAGACTGATATATGGTTTAGTATATTAATTTCATTATAGAAAAACCAGTATAACAAATTGTCATTGGTAACAATTCCAACATCAATCCTGTCTAACCTTTATCTAGATGTCCTGCAAGTTTACATCTGTCTATAGGTTCTGTTGGTTCAGTAAGAGATTGCTCAGCACCTGTGACAACTGTTCCTGGCATTAAATAATCTGTTGATTACACAGAGTCCATTTATAACTTATGGACCAATGTTCCGCAGATTATTCTCCCTATTTTAGACAGTTCACTTGGACTTAAAACAATTGGGGTAGTTTTTCCTAGCTCTCAAATTTAAAATCAGAAACAAATGAACTTGTGTCAACAGTTTGCAGCATCAAACAATGAAAAGTTTTGTACCCATTTTTGTAAAACGTTGAAGACAGATTTGTTGAGGGCAGTACTTTAAAATCGAAATGATTTTAATTATCTATAATTGCAAATGCAACAGAAATAGACCCATTATCTTTAACTATTAGATAGATAAAATAAACTGGATGTACTAAATTGATTACTACAAATTAATTCAGAATTGGTATACAAAATCTCTTCAAATTATCAAGTGAAATTTGATATTTCTGCATTACTTTTGCATTTGATTCAATTAGATGGAATTATTGTACTTGTGTTACTTGCCGTGAATTTATTTTTGGTTTCAGGATTAAGAGAATGTTAAACAATCCGAACAAATGGTTTTATTGACTTACTTAATCCACACCCCCTTTTTACAAGATTAAATATCTTCGTAATTAGATTTAAAGTTTAATTTTTAACCTAAATTGTCATCAGCATTTACTGAAAACTGATTAAATAATGCAGTTAATTGTCTGGACTTGATCAATGTATTCTTCTCTCAGGTGTGTCTACCTGTACAAGTGATTAGCAATCATTAACCAGATTTTCCCTAGGTGAGGTCTGTTTTTCCTCCAATTATGAATTTAAACTGATAGATTTAATGAAAATACCATTTTAAAAAGTCATCTTTTTTCAGAGCGTGTCCAGAATGTAGAGTGCAGTCAGACTTTGTCACTCCAAGTATGTACTGGGTAGATACTGATGAAGAAAAACAGAAACTTATATCTGGTTATAAAAAAGCATTAAGGTAAACATCATCTAATTAGATGGTTAACTAAAAGCCATAAATATACAATGTAAAAATAAACTCAGATTGTACACCATGTGTAATGAGTAAAATATTACAAAATACATATTATAGTAAGATGTTTGCACAATAGTACAATGGATAGCTTAATAAAACAACAAAAGTCTTAATTCACCAACCCAACCTAATATTCCCTACACCCTATGGATGTCATAAGTAATTTTTCATAGGTATTGTGTTGGTTTCCTGCTTCTCATGTATTTTTAATTAAAAAAAAAAATGCTGAATATGCATGAAATATTTGCCACCAGCAATCACTCACTAGTATGGCAGGCTTCAATATTAAACAGTGTGTAGATGCTACAATATTAAAATAAGTCTTATGTAGAAATATAAGGCCACACCCCTTGCAAGGGGGTTTGAAGGACCCCACAGACAACAAATCTGGGGATTCATTTAGTTGCAAACCTTAAAAAGTAACCTGGTCAAAAACTATTTCTTTTCAATATCTGTGATATTTCAGTAATAAACCATGCAAGTATTTCAAGGAAGGCAAGGGAGAGTGTCCATTTTATGACAAGTGCTTCTATCGTCATGCTCATCCAGATGGGACTATAGCAGATCCAAAACCTCGACCTAGACGAAGACGACAAGATGCAGAGGGAACATTAGACATTATAGAAAGAATTAATTTGTGGGATTTTTTAGAAGAAAGACAGAACAGAGTTTTCTTGCTTGATTTAGAAGAAGAATTAGACAATTTAATTTTGAATTTAGTGTTAGGTGGACGTGATACAGATAGTGATAGTGACAGTGATTTTGATGGCTTTTGGTGATGAATGTTTGTTTCTAGAATTATATATAATTAATGAATTACCTCCCCCTTAGTAGAAATTTTTCATAATCTAACAATAAGGTAATATGATATATATAGTTTCTTATCCAATATCCTACAAAATCAACAATTTGGGTGTAATGTGGTGGTGCTAAAGGACAAAAATGATAAAGAACAAAATTATATATTGTTTCTTTTGAGGTAGCAGTCCCAATTTAAAATTGCATTAACAGTTAGATGGACTTTTTATTATTGTGTTTGACTTGCTGCCTATTCTATAAGACAAAAAATTATTAACAAGAATAAAAAGCATGCAAATGTAACCTTAATACAAGTTATTAGATTTTTATAGTAGATATTTGTAGGCATTATACTTTTAAAGATTTTGAGATTTGAAATACACTTCATCTGGTGTTTAAGTTCTGACTTTAACACGAATATAAAACTAGGGAAATGCAGTATGATTGCCAGTGAGAAAATTATTCACCATAGACAAAAAGATGAGGATGTAAAAAACTATAGGGCCTTATGCAGCCTTCACCAATGAGCAAAACCAAAACCATATAGTAAGTTTTGAAATGTATAAAATATCCTCTATGAAGAATGCCTTTGTGATTTTAATGTGTTCTGACTTCCACAATACATAATTACATCTGTTAAACATTCACGGTTCAATATCTTATGCAGTTTGGCCACTCTGTTGGTTGTATTGAAGACATGCAATAGTAAAGTTATGGCAGATCAGGAACGCTAAGGCACATCACATGTAAGGAACATGTTTACAAAGTATGAAAGTATGCAGGTGAATGTTATCAAACCTTTGAAAATCATTGAATTTCATGACTTCACATGTACAATGTAATTACTTATCTATTCAAAATTGATAATATATTAATGTATATTTCATTATTTAACACCTCAGCTTTTACAAGTTTTTACACTGTTTAAAAACAATATTGAAAAATATAAGGAATCTGTTTAAGTCAAAGTGGTTTTTATAAGACCCTCATAGCAAAACTAATTTTTGGAAATTCCAAGCATGCAAGCTTAAGGCCCTAGAAATTTTCTTATTACCTTATTAAAAAGCACATTTCACATGTAAAAAGTGGCAATTTGATTTAAAATTCAATACTGTGGATTCATTATTATTCGTGAGTTATCAATTTTGGTGGATAGCATGTGTAAAGGTTATCCAAGAATTTCAATGTTTAACAAAGTACAAATTTTCTATAGGCTTCTATGCAGACCTTGACAAAACCACAAAATTTAATATCCATGAAAGTGTAAGTTTTCCTCAAACCATGAAAATTGGTACCCACAAAAATAGTTGAATCCACAGTATAAAAACATGATTGAGATGATATTTTGTTGAACCAATAAAAAAACAATCATCATTTTGAAACAATATAATGAAACAAAAAGCAATAATATAGATTGCTACATAGTGCTGCTGAAGTCATATAACAAGAATAAACCAAAAAGAACTAGTTTGATCATTGAACCTGAAAAATTGAAATATGTCATTAATTCCATTTTTTAAACTTCAATTTTAAGGTTTAGCAGTTGAAAATAGTACTTTTTAAAGAGCTGATATGACGACTGATCCAACTATGTTTTCTTAATGTTTGCAGGAATAAAAACATATAGAATAGTTATATCATATAACTTTGTATAAATATACATATGCAAACATGTTCTTTCCATTTTTTTTTCTGATAATGAAATCAATTCTTCAATGGCTATTTGAAAAGAAGGATAGCAGGCATTACCAAAAATATTGGACAGTTCAACAGACCATGCCAACCACCAACACATTACTCTGTTGTAAAATAGAAGTACAAATAATAAAGAATCTATACATGAATGACTTGAGGGGAGAATATAATCAGATATACCATTTACTAGTATCAAGGAAGCATCATATATATTTTTGATGCACCAAATTTGTCTAAATCTGGTTGATGTAAAACATTTGATATATGCAAAATCTAAAACCATGGTAGTTTGAAAATGTCTTTGAACCAATGATTTTTTTTTCCAAAAACCAGATAAAAAGGATTTTCTGCAGTGATAATTTTACAATTTAATATGTAAACATTTTTATACTTTTTCAATACTATATGTGCTTGGTAGAGCTTAATTTTGCTGGTTTTAAGATAAACATGTATGCATTTAACAGAAATAGCTATATTGATATGCATTTATATTATTTATCATAATTTCATTTAGAATGAAATGTTTGGCAATGGATTGAGAAATTTTGATAATAGTCCTGAGTTACTGTCTTGTCTGAGAATTCAATTTGAAAGAATTAAGTTGTACACTCAAAACCAAGTACTTGTAATACTTAGATAAGCCATATAAATCATTTTAAAGATGGATATACACGAAAATTTAACAAAACTATGACTGTTCAGAGGTAGAGAATACATACATCCATGTGAATTTCACAAAATTAATGTGATTTTCATGTGAAATTGTTCATGAAATATAATCCTGTTTTTTTTTTCCATGTACATGTTACATGAATATTTTGATATATTTTATAAATGTGTACTTGTAAAATTAAATACAATACAGACTTTTATTTTTTGAATTGAAATGTAATGTTTTATGAAAATTTTTAAGTGAACATAAAACATAAGCAAAATTGCTTTGTTGAAATTTCAGTCACAGAAAATTTCCTTTTCCCTAATATCTCTGACTGATGTTAAATACAAATCATTGAATGATCATTATTTAACAGACAACCAAATTGATCTTTTAAACTATAAAACAAGTGTCTTGGATTTTTTTTAAACGATTTTAAATCTTTTAGCAGATAAGATCTAAAATGCCATATATTAATGATTTTCAATAATAGTAAATCTTTTAACAGAATCTGAATATATTGTTATTGCGTTTTGAAATTAAAAAAAAATATAATTATAAACATAACATTTGTAAATTTGAAATTTAAGCAATAACCTTTATTAACATGTTAAAGTGTTGGAAAAAGGAGAGTCTGAAATTAAGAAAAAACCATATCCATTTGCCTTTGTTTATTAGTCTATAATTTGTGGACCTAAAACTTGTTATAACTAACTTACCTGCACCCAATTTTTTAAGGTATGCTTATGTTTATGTGAATTTGTTTTTTGTTTTTTTTTTTGTAATTTTTTATGGTACACCTTGAAAATGTTACCTAAAACATGAACTCCATGTAACAGGACTTTGGTGTCTTTTTTATGGAATTGTTAAAGCAGCTGTATTTGTTTGAAATATTTATTTGTTACCCATGTTACAATTATATATATAAACTTGTGTTGAATTTCATTGCTTTAATGGTTGTTGTTTTTATTATCATGCTTGTATCAAAGGCATGAAAAGGAAATTTGCATCATAATTTCCTCTGAACCACTGATGGTCTTCACAAATAAACTTATAGTATCGTTAAGCATCTAATGACTTTTTGTACTTACTAATTTAACTTTAACTAAATATGTGTTAATTTCCCATAGCTAGGACTGGACTTATTTATATCTTGTAAATTGAAACTGGAATATGGACTTGTGAGCAATACGCATATTTTTCTTTCCAATATAAGGTACATAAAAAAATGTATAAGGAAATAGAGCTATAGGAATGTGTATCTTAGACAGAATATCAGCATTTATGAAGAAGTGAGGTACTTTGACCTTTACTTTTGATTTCATACTTCACTAACTTTGAATAGAGAGCTTTATCCAGAGCTTTATCCATGGTTTCAATACTTAAGATTAGCTTAAAACTTGCCCTTTGAAATTATTGTATGGACTTACATGGCCTTACTGAAATTCATATTCATATTCATATTTCCAACCAAATCATTATTGTTTAAAACTATATCAATGTAATAAATGCTGTTTTGAGTTATAAATTAAAACACACATTTATTTGAAAGCTTCACACATCCTAATAATTGGATACCACAGGGAAAAAAACCAGAATATATGCGTTGCAGTCTTTGGCAAAGACAGTCTCTGAAGAAAGGACACGCACATGTTTTATGACAGGGACTCGATAGAAAGTAACATTCTTTTCATGAATAGGTGATTTTCTATTGAATAGGAATACCTAGAATCTCATTCAATTTAAGATGCTTACTGAACAGTTTAAAACATGGTAAATAAGCTTCACCTCATTTTCAGGGTACACTCTCATCTTGCATAATACAAATAAAATATTTTTCACAAAAAAGAAATTACAATAGATCATCCAATGGTGTCTAAATCCCAAAGATACTCGGGACAAGTTTAAGTTGCTTGTGAAAATATTTTTTTGCAGTTTACAGTTACATGTAGATACAATCGAAGGTTTAGCTTTCTAGTACTCAATAACATTGGCAAACTTTCATAGAATTTTATGAAACTGGGACGGAAGCTTTTTTTAGTCCCCTATCGACGAATGTCTGTCCATCCGTCAGTCCGGCAAATCAGTTTTCCACAATTTTTTTCTTCGTACTTGAAGATTTTGATTTCATATTTGGTATAATGTTTTATCATGACAAGTTACAGATCAATTTCGAATTTTGTTCCGGTCTGATTATTTTGTGCAGAGTTATGGTCCTTGGACTTAGAAAATTCACTCAAATAATCAGTTTTCCACACTTTTTTTCGTCATGCTTGAAGATATTGATTTGATAATTGGTATATAGTTTTATCATGACAAGTTACAGACCAAGTTCGAATTTTGTTCCAGTCTGATGATTTTGTGCAGAGTAATGGTCCTTGGACTTAGAAAATTCACTCAAATAATCAGTTTTCCACACTTTTTATACGACCGCAAAAAAATCTTGTGGTCGTATATTGGTATGACGTTGGCGTCATCGTCGTCCAAAGACACATTAGTTTTCGCACTCTAACTTTAGTTTAAGTGAATGAATCTCAATGAAATTTTACCATAAGGTTGAATACCACAAAAGGAAGGCAGGGATTGATTTTGGGGGTTATGGTACCCACCGTTAAGGAATTCGGGGCCAAAAATAAGCATTTTTGTAACTTCCAGACATAACTTGTGTGTAAGTGTATGGATCTCTCTGACATTGTACCACAAGGTTCCATATCGCAAAGGGAATGCTGGGATTGATTTTGGGGGTAATGGCTTCCAAATTTTAGGAATTAGGGGCCAAAAAGGGGCAAAAAACAAGCATTTTTCTAGTTTCATGACAATAACTTGTGTGTAAGTGTATGGATCTTTATGAAATTGTACTACAAGGTTCCATATCACAAAGGGAAAGCTGGAACTGAGTTTGGGGGTAATTGCCCAAAACGTTTAGGAATAAGGGGTCAAAAAGGGGCCAAAAATAAGCATTTTTCTAGTTTCAAGACAATAACTTGTGTTCAAGTGTATGGATCTCTCTGAAATTGTACTGCAAGGTACCATACCACAAAGGGAAGGCTGGGATTGAGTGTGGGGGTAATTGCCTCAAAATGTTAGGAATAAGGGGCCAAAAGGGAAAAAAAAACCAAGCATTTTTCTAGTTTCATGACAATAACTTGTGTGTAAGTGTATGAATCTTTACGAAATTGTACTACAAGGTTCCATATCACAACGGGAAAGCTTGGTTTGAGTTTGGGGTAATTGCCCTAAATGTTTCGGAATTTGGGGCCAAAAACAAGCATTTTTCTAGTTTCCAGACAATAACTTGTGTTCAAGTGTATGGATCTCTCTGAAATTGTACTGCAAGGTACCATACCACAAAGGGAAGGCTGGGATTGAGTTTGGGGGTGTTGAATCATAAGGGGGTTCAACAATTTTGGGGGGGATTTTTTTTTTCCTTTTTATAGGACCGCAAAAAATTTTTTGGGATCGTATAATGGTATGATGTCGTCGTCGTCGTCGTCCGAAGACACATTGGTTTCTGCACAATAACTTTAGTTAAGGTGAATAGACCTCTATGAAATTTTTTAAGAAGGTTCAATACCACAAAAAGAAGGTTGGGATTGATTTTGGGGATAATGGTCCCAACCGTTTAGGAATTAGGGGCCCAAAAGGGGCCTAAAACAAGCATTTTTCTAGTTTCAGGATAATAACTTGTGTATAAGTATTTCGATTGCTCTGAAATTGTACCACAATGTTTAATACCACAAGTTAAAGGTTTTTGATTCATTTTAGGGGTTATGGAGCCAACAGTTTAGGAATTAAGGGCCAAAAAGGGGCCAAAAACAAGCATTTTTCTAGTTTCCAGACAATAACTTGTGTGTAAGTGTATGGATCTCTCTGACATTGTACCACAAGGTTCCATATAACAAAGGGAAGGCTGTGATTAAGTTTGGGGTTAATTGCCCCAAACATGTAGGAATTAGGAGCCAAAAAAGGGCCAAAAACAAGCATTTTTCTAGTTTCCAGACAATAACTTGTGTGTAAGTGTATGGATCTCTCTGACATTGTACCACAAGGTTCCATATAACAAAGGGAAGGCTGTGATTGAGTTTGGGGTTAATTGCCCCAAACATGTAGGAATTAGGAGCCAAAAAAGGGCCAAAAACAAGCATTTTTCTAGTTTTCAGACAATAACTTGTGTGTAAGTGTATGGATCTCTCTGAAATTGTACAAATTGTTCCATACTACAAAGGAAAGGCTGGGATTGAGTTTTGGGGTTATTGCTCCAAGGGGGGTTTCAAAAAGTGGGGGGAGGGGGGATTTTTTTTTTCTAATTTTAAGGGATTCATATATTTTTTTCAAAATTTTTCAAATTTCGAATTTTAAGGGATTCATATTTTTTTTTCAAAATTTTTCAAATTTCGAATTTTTGAAAAGTTTCAAGAAGAAATCTTCAATTGCACAGTATTGCGCAATAGATTTGTAAGATCTTTGACCACATTTATTTTGTGTCAGAAACCTATATTATGTCAAAAATTTGATCACAATCCAAATTCAGACAGTATCAAAATTGAATATTGTGTCCAAATTTGCCCAAACTGTTCAGGGTTCGACCTCTGCGGTCGTATCAGGCTGCGCTCAGCGAAGCATTTTATTTTTCTTTAAAATTTTCCATTTTAAATTGGTTATTTCTGATTTATATATAAAAGCAAATAATAATGATATGGTTTGAATAGGTAAATTAAAATTTTTTAAGTTCTTAGACCACATTCATTCTGTGTCAGAAACCTATGCTGTGTTAAATATTTAATTACAATCCAAATTCAGTGCTGTATCCAGCTTGAATGTTGTGTCCATACTTGCCCCAACTGTTCAGGGTTCGACCTCTGCGGTCGTATCAAGCTGCGCACAGCGGAGCATTTTATTGTCATCATGCTTGAAGATATTGACTTGATATTTGTTATATAGTTTACACCATGACAAGTTATAGATCAAGTTAGCATACTGTTCCAGTACAATTAATTTTTAACTGGTAGGGGACTATGTATTGCCATGCAATACTCTCAGAATGCTTGTTTATGATCAAAAGACAGTATCCAGGGCAAATTTCGAAAAAATTTGTTTTCATTTTTCCATATTTTGTTGATAAAGAGACTTATTTTTTTTTTGCAGTTAACATTTAGATACAGTCTGAGGTCAAAGATTTTAAGACATCAATAGCTTTATCAAAACTTCATTGAATTTTATGAAACTTTGCCAGAAGCTTTTTTATTAGTAATAGATAATGTCTGATGCAAAATTTTGAAAGTACTGTTTTTTTATTTTCCTGTGTTTTACTGATAAAATTAGATACAGTCTTGGATTATATGTGAAACTTGAAGCACATGCTTAAATCAGCAATGTCTCGGACAAGTTCGAAAATTAGAGCAGATCAATTATTCTTTAAAGAGTTACGCCCCTTTGAAATATTAATCATACTGAAAATTGCATTGTAAGTGCTCTCATGTGTACAATTCTTGACAGATTATTATGAAATTTATATCAAAGGTTTAAATCAGCAATATCTCAGACATTTTCTAAAATCAGTTCCGATTAATTTTTTGATTCAGCCATGCTGGATCTATTTGATCACTCTGGATTTGGAGATGGTGCAGAATTAGAAGTTGAAGACATCATGAAACTAATTATGTGTTTTAATGACTTGCAGAAACTTTTGACATGTTATTTATCCTTAAATTAAGAAAAGATTGGTCGAATAGCTCCTTTATTTTAGATATACACTTGCATATAGTTCTTTTGTAAATCAAAATTTGTAATAGATTACTATTTACTGAGACTACTATAACATATAGTAGTCTCAGCTATTTATTAATTAATGTGAAAAAGTAATATATCAAATTTCAGCAGTTGATGAGAATTATGAAAGTATTTTATCAGTATCTAAGTCTTGTGTAAGTAATGGAATAGATAGA